ATGTAGAAGTACATAGAAACCATATATTTTTTGAATGTCATACATTAATCTATCATTTGAGACCGGAAGTGATAATTTATAAACCGGAAGTAGCATATTATCACCCTTATTACAGGCATAAGTATATATAAACCATATATTTTTGGAATCAGTGTAAATAAAGCTAACATATGAGACCGAAAGTGACATTTTCTAAACCGGAAGTAGCTAATTATCTCCCTTTTTGCAGGCAAAAGTATATATAAACCATATATTTTTGGAATCAGTGTAAATACATCTATCATATGAGACCGAAAGTGACATTTTCTAAACCGGAAGTAGCCAATTATCTCCCTTTTTACAGGTAAAAGTATATATAAACCATATATTTTTGGAATCAGTGTAAATAAAGCTATCATATGAGACCGGAAGTGACATTTTCTAAACTGGATGTTGACAATTATTTCCCTTATTTCAGGCAAAAGTCTATAGAAACCATATGTTTATTGAATCAGTATGAAGAAATCTATGATTGGACGCCAATAGTAGCTTTGAGTAAACCAGAATTAGCTTCTCATCAATCATTTAGAAAATTGATGTGGAAAGACCTTCAATTGTTCTTTGAACAATTGTTTTTTAATTATTTTTTTTTTTTTTTTTTCTTCCGATAAATTTTGTTCTTGCGATAAATGTTTGTTTCGCAATATGTCGCTTAGATATTTCTCATATTGTATCGTATAGTTTATGCGCTTTTAAATTTCACCCTGCTAAGCCGAACCATTTTCTTTGCAAGAGTTATCTCCCTATTCACTGTTTATCATCTGTGTGCATCTCCTTCATAACAAAAAAAGATATCGACAAAATTCTTTTTCTAAATTGTTCGTTACATCCTCAGGAATTTTTGGCTAATTTGGTTTGAAGCGATTCGATGAAATTTTATAGGAGTTATCTACCTTTATCAAATAAATTTGTCGTTATGTTTTTGTTACTCATAAACTGTAAGCCGTATAAACCTATAGTCTTTTTATTTAAGGTCCTTGGATCCTAACTTCGAAAATGAGGTCAAGGTCAAAGGTCAAGGTCATGTTCTGAATTTTGTCTTTTGCTTGTTTTTGCATTTTCTCCGATATTTTTAATGTTATATATTAAAGAACAAGTGCAAAATGTTTGTTATATTGTGATGAAGATATGATACATTTGGTCTGAGACAATCCAGCGACATCTCATTGGAGTTATTGCCCCTGAAATGTTTTATTTTAAGGTAAATTGATTATTACTTCATATTGGTACATGATAAAGCCATATGATCTTTTGCAAAATGTTGGGTGACATATGACCTTGAAAAATGTCAACCTGAAGTGACCTTGAGTGAACCGTAAGTAGTCATTTTTGCATTTATTTCATGTAGAAGTACATAGAAACCATATATTTTTTGAATGGTCATACATTAATCTATCATTTGAGACCGGAAGTGATATTTTATAAACCGGAAGTAGCATATTATCTCCCTTATTACAGGCATAAGTATATATAAACCATATATTTTTGGAATCAGTGTAAATAAATCTATCATATGAGACCGGAAGTGACATTTTCTAAACCGGAAGTAGCCAATTATCTCCCTTTTTACAGGCAAAAGTATATATAAACCATATATTTTTGGAATCAGTGTAAATAAATCTATCATATGAGACGGGAAGTGACATTTTCTAAACCGGAAGTGGCCAATTATCTCCCTTTTTACAGGCAAAAGTATATATAAACCATATATTTTTGGAATCAGTGTAAATAAAGCTATCATATGAGACCGGAAGTGACATTTTCTAAACCGGATGTTGACAATTATCTCCCTTATTTCAGGCAAAAGTCTATAGAAACCATATGTTAATTGAATCAGTATGAAGAAACCTATGATTGGACGCCAATAGTAGCTTTGAGTAAACCAGAATTAGCTTCTCATCAATTATTTAGAAAATTGATGTGGAAAGACCTTCAATTGTTCTTTGAACAATTGGTTTTTAATTATCATTGTTGTTGTTTCAACATGAAAAATTATAAAGGCGTTAATTCAGATAACATGAATGCAGATACTGGGTGCAGTGAATAACACGGAATTGATAACAGTAGGTATTGCATGAATTTGAAAAAAGGACATCGTGTACATCAGCGAGGTAAATTTGTCTTGCTTTGTTTGTATAAAAAAAAATGTAAAAATGGTAAATTCAAGAAGGACAGAATAAACCTTGCCTAAAGAAAAGATAAAAAATTAGACAATACTCAAACATTCAACAGATAACTAAAGGATGAAACATACAAAAACCAACTGATGCAACTCCAGATGCCCAAGAAGGGTCGACATGTCTTATTTTATAAGTGGAATCAGTCGTATTGCTAATGTGGAGAATCAATTCAGTAGCAGTTGAGGAAAAATAAAGGGCAAACACGACAACAGATTTACAAATAATGAAGTAGCAGTTACTAAAAATCTTATCCACCAAGGTCATGGATAGCCATTAAATATTATTCGACCGGGTGAGTGTACGCTTATTTGAGTTTAACACGTAATAAATAAGGTCCGTCCGAAGAACATTTTTTTACTTCATCAAGTACGCTCAAACCCAGTTTTTCTCTGTCATCTACGCAACAATATGTGTTCACAAAATATCGTCCATATGCCGTTCTGATATTTTTCGATTTATTTAGACTCTGACACTTAGTATTATCAATGTTTAAACTCATTAATGGTGATACAATCATGTCAACGCATCAATCCCATCGAACTTAAAATGATTCACAAGATATACAGATATTCAGCTTTATAGCTTGACTTACATCTAGAAATTGACACGAGGGTAGACTTCGAACAAAACTTTACGACTAAAGAGATGGTATACGAAATTTGTGATGTCTAAGGGTTAGATAAGAATCAATTACTAATCCGCCATTGAGTGCAGTCGAATCCGTTGATATAACTTATTAATGAATTTTGGGGAGAAGTAGCTTCTGGTCATTTAGGAATAGATCAAATCAGGAATATGACAGTTCTTTTCCATCGGTTTGATGTTTTTGAGCTTTTGATTTTGCCATTTGATGAGAGACTTTTCGTTTTGTATTTACCTTGGAGTTCGGTATTTTTGTTATTTTACTTTTTAGCTTTTTTGTTTCAATCTTTTTATTACTATTGATAAAAGGGTACAACCAAATGCGAAATTCAAAGATTGACAAAACCATGACCCAAAAAAAAAAGAAACATATAAATTAACTCTTAATAGATAACAAGATTAAAAAGTTCTACGTCATACGCGCGTGTCGTCTACAAAACACTAATCAGTGACGCTCGAATCAAAAAAGTTAAAAAGACCAAATTAAGTATGTAGTGAAAGAGCATTGAGGACCAACAATTCCGAAAGGTTTTGCCAATTACAGCCATTCCTTGGGGAAGAAAATCCTTAGTATTTCGAAAAGTTCAAAGTTTTATAAACAGTTAATCTATAATTTTGAACAATGATAATTCATGTCAACACAGAAGTACTGACTAAAGGTCAGCAAAACACAACATGGCAAATTAAAGATTATGCACTCCATCAAAAACTTTAATTGAACTAAATTGCTTTGAAGGAATAAAACCACTAATTCATAGCCCCATTGCTTTCTATGTTTTTGCAATTTCAAGCATTACTGGCTACTCTGTAACGTCTTAAGTTTGAATAAAGTGGCAGTCACTTGATGTCAAAATTTTACCTTATTCGGACTTGTGCTGAAATATTCAACATACCTTTAATTGCATATCAGAGCGCAGTTGTTCACAGAAGTTTTGTAGTGCAAAAACAGACACTGTTGATCAGAACAACAGGGCAAATGTGACCTCCTATTAAAATATTTTTTATTATTCAAAATAAACCTTCAACAAAGGTTCTTAAGCTTTCACTTCCATTTGATACCAAATTTACCGCTATGCGTAGGAACTTTTTTGTTTAAAATGTGTACTAATTTTCTGTTTGTTTTTTCAAACTGGGCCCGAATTAGTGATTGTATATCTTGAAAGAATATGCACATCTTATCAGCCTTATTTTTAGTGGAAGAGCATTGAGGACCATTAACAACAACGTTATGCTAGCCATAAAAAACAGGTTCAACCCACCATGTTTTCTTAAAATATCCTGTACCAAGTCAGGAATATGGCAGTTGTTATCTCATAGTCCGTTTTTATGTATGTTGTCGTTTGTTTTTGTAGCAGTTCAGTGTTTCTGTTGCTCCGTTTTTCCTCTTATAGATGATATGTTTCCTCAGTTTTGGTTTGTGACCCGGAATTGTTTCAGTTAAAACGATTTATTACTATTGAACAGCGGTATAATACTCTTGCCTTTATTTACAATAAGAAATTCATTTTATCATAAGCATTATCGTTATATATTATTTTTTTCTTATGTCTATTTTCAATCTTTATATGTAACATGCTCTTTATGAGCCGATAATTGTTTTAATAAAGTATTTGTAAGTATTCGTATTCGTTAATGTAATGTATATGTTCATAACAACACCAAAAAAACAGACCTTAAGCATTATTTGGGGTTTTTTAATATAAATATAGCTTTGTGATTTATAGGCTCTTTTAGTTTTCTGTTTGTGTCATTGACTTCACGGCTTTAGTCCATTCGTTTAGAGTTTGAAACATCTTCTTTTTATCTTTTTGGAACAATCCATGACATAATTCCGGTACGTACATTAGTATTTTAGAATAGTGCTTCTACAATTATCTTTTGTGCTATCGAATTTCGTTGATTAGTGTTGTTGAAAAAGTTGAGGTCACCGTTGTAACGTGATCAGTAGATTATGTTTAAGTTGGAAACTTGTACAGGTTCACTAAGGAGGTTAAGAATTTCTAGTTTTCGATATTTAGAGTTTGGAATAAGTATAAGTGATAATTCGAGATAACTCATCTTGGAAGAAGGGGCTATGTTAGTTTCTAATAAAAACAATTTCTTGATATACTCGACTTACGAATGATATATTTTATAGCCTAGCTGGACAGGAGGTCTAGAGTGTTTGACACAGTGCTAGCGATGTGGCCTGGATCTTACAGAAGCAGGGGTTCGAATCTTCCCGTGGAAAAACAAAAATTAAATCAACGAGGTAGATAGCTACAACAAAAGAGAAATCAGTTTATTATCTATGTAAAATATATGCCCGAATTAAAATGGTCAAAAGAGCAAATCAAATACGAAATTGTAGAGCTTTAAAAACCGAAAGGTTATAAAATTTAAGCCAAATACTGCCGCGGAAATCTATATTTGGGCGTAGTAAACCTTTGTGTTTAGAATAATTCCACATTTTATATACAGTAAATTTGAAGAAAATAAACATATCAATATTGTTTCAGCTTCTAACGTTACATTCTGTTTTCGTATCATATCTTTCGCACACTTTTATATATCCATTGCATTTAACATGACCGTGATGTTCTATCACAGAAAACATGACCTTTCAGTTTTGATTGAACTTATGTGATTCACATGTTTTATGTTATTATGCTAGTACATTACTATTGTTTTTATGTCCTGTCTTCTGTGCATTTTTTTTTATATGCAAATATAATACAACATGCATGTTAAAATATAAACGTGATAATGCATTAAACTTTATTGACCTCTCTTGACCTCTTTGGGGTACAAATTATAAGTATGGTATCGCTGATGAGTTTTTACAACCGTTCGGTTGATATCACTGTTGGTGGGTGTCCCCGAGGATATCACAAACCCTGTAACCAGCACTTCTTCTGTGGCGTTGTTTTTTTTTTCTTCATTTAAATATTTAAGAAATCAGATACAAAACTTAAACCTTTTTTCAGAATAGGCGGCATAGAATCACGCTCGTACTGATGTGGTAACTCTTCAATCAAGGGTTGAAGTTCCTCTCTTGCCATATTTTTCGTAGCACGTATATTTGGCTTAAGCTGTTTTAAATAACCATCTATGTACATAAACACAGTTTTGCATTGGTGACGAAAAATGTCTGTTAACACAAAACCTGGTATTGTGTTAGCAACTAAACTTGCTTTCAATAAATGAATCAACGAATCTCAGTATTCCATACAGGCTGTACGTTGTAGAGAAAAGTCATTCAGTAGTCGTAGAGCCTTCCACTTTTCAATATTGTTCCCGAGATAATGATGGCATAGAAAAAGTAAATAATACATTCGTATCTGCGGATTGACAATAATGATGTCCTTGGCAGGACTTAGACAAAGAACATCTTCATGATAAAACATTAAATGTGGTTTTGTCTTTGGAATGAGATAAAATAAATCAGAACATGAATGTTTATATCGCTGCAGAAAATGTTTTCCAATTTTTTGTAACATTCTACTTCGTGGGGAAGGCTTTAACTCGGTATTTATTATTTGATGATCGGTCGAACTTTTTATTTGACATAGTTGAATAATTTGTAAAGCTTTCTCACGCTGTTTGCATTGAAAAAAGAATTCGGCTAGTAAGAGCCAACCGGTATAGGAATCAGAAAATGAGCCTAGTACGCTATACCAAAGGCATTTCTTGTAGTCTAAAAAAAACATTTTATTATATTTTGGATTTTGCAAAGTTATTTCATTATTCTTACATATCATAAATGAATAATGCTTAAACAAAGATCCGCAAAGTTTTGAAAACCAAATGAAGCATATGTGCTTTAAGAGCTTACATTTTCTATGAGCCATTAAACAATAAATTGGCTGAAATATAGTATTACTACCCCCAAATCCAATCCCGTGCATATAATGTAAAAGTGGATAAATGATTGAGTCCACATTATAATATTTTGAAGTAGATAATTCAGAAGATAAAGGGGCTTCTCTATGCTCAAAAAATGATGAAAAATTTTGTATCTGTCTTAAGGAATGTTTTCCATTGGTGAAGAACGTTTGCAAGAGTGAAAGTAATAACGTTTTCTTCTGTACATCAATGTTTCCTTCTATCAAATTTTTATGTGGTATAAAGTAGTTGGGAAGGACATTGTTCTGTACAAAAAACATTAGTCTTTTTATGCATGCTTGAAAGCATTCAAATAACCTATTGGGTTGCCATTCAGAAATCTGAGATTCTTCGATCATCCAGAATAATACCGTCTTCATAAAGTATGAACACATGGTTCCCTTTATTTTTCGATGGATTACTTCTTTTAATGTATATTTTAGTAACGCATAACACAGAATTTGTGTATGATTAAATGAATGAACAAGCATTTTTTCTGCAATTGAGAAAGACATTCTCCATTCGTAAGGATCCTCCTTCTTGTTATTAGACTTATTCCCAATAGGTGCCAGTAAGACGTTATCTCGGACTATATCTTCAATTAATTCTGTTGGAGGCCATTGATAACTGCGAGGTCTTGTTATCCACTCTGTCGCATTTCTCGGCCAGGAATTACATTTATAAGTAGATAAGAAATCATACGATCCACAAATAGAAGAGGTGCAAGGACCATGTATCTCTGAAAAAGACATCGAATCATCGAAACTATCTTTATCATTATACATGTTTTGTATCAATCGTTTGTAGTGTCCATTTGATAAAAATATGTTGTTGTCAGAGTTTATGTACATATGTTTAGTTTGCATCCCACTTCTGTTATTGAGATGAAGCTTGATATTTACATACCCCGGTGGTGTATTTTCGAAATCAAAATAAAGTGCATATGGCAAGTCACTCGGTATTTCAGATTTTGTATTGTATACTGTGTCCATCTGGTTGATATACATAATATCCAAGTCGCTTCCTGGTAAGTCTAAGCCTTCTGCTTTACTTCCACTAGTCACTACTCGCCATTGAGGACTGTACTGTAAAGCATGATCTAGCACTTTAAAGAATATCCTTCGTGATCGGACGTCTTTTTCGGAGCCAACAACTTTGCAAAGAAAATCAAATAGCTCAAGCGAAAAATTTGACTCTAGCGTCTCATATGAAAATTCCATTTCTACAAAAGAGTTATAGCATGATATCTGAATCAGTGTAGAAACAATATCAGTTTTTCTTTAGAACGGCCACTGTTAATGGGCATGAAATTAAGAAAAAGTGTTAAAACCTGTTATTTGTTTTTCTCAGATTTTAATATAATACAGAGTGATAGAAGCAATGACACATGTTATAATAATAAACAGGTGTTGTATCTAACACAATACATAATAAATCACATAATACCACAGAACATAGAATACCCCCCCCCCCCCCCCCCCCCCCCCCCCCCCGCCAAAAAAAATAACCATCTTTTTTTCGAGTGTTAGTTTGGTATATATATATAACTTTTAAATCATTTGGAATACTAAGACTTCTTTACCACCATATTACGCACTATAAATCTTGCGACTACAATTGATCGTAACTTATACTGAAATGTTCAGGACTCTAGAGAATTTTTTCTCGTAAGTTTTTTTGTGAAATCGATAGCTGGTATCTTTGGTGAGTTTATACTTCATGTGTATATTTATTGTTGTGGTGTTTTTTTCATCTGTTCTTTACATTCTAATAAATGTTGTTGAGCATATACAAATATAAGTCCGGTCTTGTGTGGTAAAGCGGTGATAATTTTACTTACTTACTTCAATGTTGCAATATGTGGAAATAATTGATGGCATATCCTCCTAAGCGGGTTAACTGATATTAATAAACTTTACAAAGTTATGTGTGCATAAATCCCAGTCATACATGTTAAAATAGTACTAATCAAATATTGGGGAGGGGCGGCGGCGTTGTATTCTTTTGTGAGTTCACTCACAGTTCAAGTTGAATTGAATGTCAAAGAAGGGATAATAATTGTCGAAATGCACATCTTATTGGATGTAAGTCGCCGGAGGAAACAACGACCGCGAGAGCTGCAGCAAGGCTGAGGCAGTCCAAACAACGGTTAAGACAGCGGTCCGCACTCGACCCCTCCCGAGAGAGAGGCCTTAGAATGCACATTTTATATAGTAAAATTGGTGCAATTAAATGTTGCTATAAAACACGTTCTTTTAAATGGTAGGCATATGCTAAAACTATATGATTGTAGTTAAACAATATTTATATTTATCAATTACAAAAATGATTTTAAATGTAAGCTTTTGGTATCGATTCGGCTTAAATTAACAATTTTTACATAATTCTTAAAACAAAATTTGTTGTTCGTTTGTTATTAAATGCACCGACATTTAATAGTTACTGATCATTTAAAATCTGTATCGCTAGACGAATGATTTGTCGTATATATTATATAATTTTTCAGACACTCGTTTCAGTGTATAATTTTTTTTTATCCTTTTTATTTACTTAACTTCTAATTCTTATTTTTATTAACGATACATTCCTAGTTAAAGGGACGGGTAAAATGAAATGATATGCATAAAACAAAGACAAAAATATATACAACAAAACTGTCACTTACTTTAATTCAGTATGCATGTAACTTTTCATTTCTTGACTGCGGTAAAAATAAAGATTTTTCATTTATATACCCAAGTGTCTTCCTTGTTTTTCATAAAATTCCCAAATCTCATTTTTCATTGTTGGCCTATTTTAATAGAATATCTGTCATGTGATGTTTACTTATTATTGTTAGTATTTAGTAAGATCATTATTTACAAAAAGAGTAAAGGAAGCTAACATGACTAAGAGTGGTCTCATAATTAACATAATATGTTCCTTTTATTTGCATCGATTGTGTTGAATTAATTATTATTCAAAAGTAGAATAACAAAAATACCAACATCCGAGGAAAAATCTAAACGGAAAGTCCCTAAGCAAATGGCAAAATCAAAAGCTCAAACACATCCCACGAATGGACAACAACTGTCATATTCCTGACTTGGTACAGGCATTTTCTTATGTAGAAAATGGTGGATTAAACCCGGTGTTATAGCTAGCTAAACCTCTCACTTGTATGAAAGTTGCAATTCACAGGGAAATTTTCCACAGATTAGTTCTTAGTTTATGTGAGCATTCAAAGCCGGAATTCTTCCGCAATATCGACAGCCTCACAATGAATTAAATATCTTAATATTAATCATTTTATCCACGTAATCATCTCAGGGATCTCATGGAATTGCCTTGTTTTACACTAGTCATTTTTGGACCCTTTATAGCTTAAGCTTGCTGTTCGGTGTGAGCCAAGGCTCCGTTTTGAAGGCCATACTTTGACATATAATTCTTAACTTTTTATGCATTGTGACTTGGATGGAGAGTTGTCTCATTGCCACTCATACCACATCTTCTTATTTATAATGTACATATGCTACATTTACGAAAATTTTTGTTTTATTTATCTATGTTATGCTTTGTTTTGTTTCCATCTTTTGGTCGTTTTTCGGTTTTTTTTTGCGAAGGCATTGACAGTTTGATTTCGACATATGAGTTTGATTACCCTTTGGTATCTTTCGCATTTAACTGTTGTGTTACAACATGACTATATAGATAAATAAACAAAATTACGACTTGGACAGTAATGTAAACATGATATCAGAATTTCTTTCAAAGCCACACTGGTAATACATCTTTGCAATGATCGCTTCTTTTATTCAAATCATTGCAATTGTCATTTTAAATCGTAATTTCTCTTTGTCTTTCCAATTGTAACAGTTCCTTGTCACACGGTAATATTTTCCTTTTCATATATTTCCTTAAATTGTTTTAAGATGCATTTAAATACAAAACATTAAAATTACAGAAACGTTTCTCCCGTCTTTAAACTTTTTTTTAACAGTTGCTATTTACGGGATTTTTTATTTACGGAAGTAAACGGCTTTACTGGTCCATTGACATAGTATAAAGATTGTATTGGCTGAGTGTTTTCTTGTTAAAAAAGCCATAATATATCATAATTTTCAAAAGGTATGGGTTTAAACTTAAAGCAACAGTATTCCGATGTTCAAATCTCTTAATAAGTCAAATAACAAAAATACCGAACTCCCAGGAAATCCCTTATTAAATGGCAAAATCAAAAGCTCAAACAAATCCAATGAATTGAAAACAACTGTTATTTTCCTGGGGCCAGTTTCACAAAGCTGTCTTAGGACTAAGATATGTCTTAGGATGGTCTTACGACATATCTTAGTCCTAAGTGGGTTTCACAAAGTGGTCCTAATTTAGGACATCTCTTAAAGTTGGTCATAAAGTTAGGACTACACGAGAGGTGTCTTATGATGGTCTTAGGATAGTCATAAGTTTATTTTTATGAATAACACTTATTTTTTATATTAATTTTGCAAATTATGTTATTATTATTTGATTATGTAATCTCCTTGTTCTACTCGTAACAAAATCTTTATAGGTTGGGGGATTATCAACAATGATTTATCAACAATGAACATTCGATTTATTTATCTCAAAAATGCACGATTTTATCCTTTAACCTTTTTATAACCGATACAGTGAAAACTTGAATTCAACTCATTTGTGCAAAGTCAAATAATCATCAGCTTATTGTTTTTTTTTCTCGAATTTTTATTTGAATTTTTATATGCATATTGGTGTATTATTAATAGATTATTTATATAAATTAAACTAATGCTTTATATTAATTTTACGAAATATCTAATTCTGGAATGTTAATCAATACGTTAAGTAATTTATTGGAAAGACATAATACATTTACATGAATCCATGTTAATATTTAAAAATTTAAAGAACTTGCGACAGGTTTAGGATATCTTAGCTAAGATCATCCTAAGACAGCTTCGAGGCGTGGTCTGAGATATGTCCTAGGATAGTCATAAGAGGATCATAAGACATGTCCTAAGATATATCTTATGACAGGTCTAAGGATAGCTTCGTGAAACCGGCCCCTGGCTTCGTACAGGCATTTCCTTATGTAGAAAATGGTGGATTAAACCTGGTTTTATAGCTAGCTAAATATCTCACTTTTATTATAGTTGCTTAGAATTCAATTATATTTACAACAATGTGTTCGTATGGAACGCCACAACTGCCTTATGATAGCGATAATCATATCACTAACGGTTGAAATATGACATAAAGCAAATTGTCTATACTATTACGACATTTGCCTATAGATTGAAATAAATAATTAATTTCCCCATAGGCGACAATGATAGCCTTTTTCGAGATACAGACTTTAGAAAGTTGATTTTTTAAACGAAACCTTGCTAGAATTAAAGAAAAGTTATTAGGACAGTATTTTTTGGTCCAAAAAATATAGGTTCGCGTTGCTTTTCTTAGCGTAATTTGTACTTATCTCCCATGCCTATCAATTTTGCACTTAAAAATACGCGTGTCTCATCCTAGCGTTTAAAAGACATCTCAGTTCCGTTAGGGCTAAGAAAATAATTTATTTGGCCTTTGGTATAATGTAGAATGCACGAAGTCTCTAATAACAAAAAATAACGGGCGCACATATCAACCAATCAGGATTAGCTATACTCTTAATTCTGAATACCATGTTATGCTCATAAAATGGCTGCGCCCATAAAATCTAATGGTGTATTGTAACCTATACGGTATTTAATACTTTCTAGAATCATGCAATTCATAGTTCGTTAGATGCACAAATATATATGCCACACAAAAATCATCTTCAAAACGTTCTGGCATTACTCTCTGAATTTTCACAATTTTTTATCAGAGGTGACCCCAGTCAAAAAATGTGAAAAAAAAAATTCTGATTTTTTGAGTAAATGCGGTACTGCTAAAAAGGGCCTGAAGATAATGTCCACTTTCTCCAATGATTCTTTATATGTCATCAAGTACTGATTATATTGATACCAAAACCGATCCAATATGTAACTACTACGGTGAATTTTGAACAACAGTTTTAAATGAAACCATTTTCGTATAAAAGTACATTTTTGAAACTGACTATAGCATTTCAAAATATGAAAAATGTGTAAATATTTGTGTTTATACATCGAAAACTATTCGTTAACTACAAAATGTCATGCCTATTCTAATTTTTATAGTCTGCCATTCGAGTGAACATTTCATTGTTCAATGGGGGTCATTTCTGTACATATTCACTGAATTTGGTAATTTCGATAACAGCACTTGGATCGAGATTGTCATGTTTAAAAATCGATTTGTATATCCAAACTCTAGACGTGTACGTGCTTTTTCCAAACAAATCAGCAGAAGTTCAGAAAATGACATATTCTCTCCACAGTAAGTCAAAAGTCGAACCCACCCTTGTTTCTAAGGTAAAACGCAATACAAATATGAAACAGACTATAGCTTAAAAACTAGTTAATCAATCATTCATTTGTCACCAAAAAATACGGTTTCACATCAAATATCAAGTAAAATTACTGTTTTTGACACTTTTTGAGCACTATGATAAAGAAATGTCGACGCTGTATAGATTGAAATAAACAATTAATTTCCCCATAGGCGACAATGATAGCCTTTTTCGAGATACAGACTTTAGAAAGTTGATTTTTTAAACGAAACCTTGCTAGAATTAAAGAAAAGTTATTAGGACAGTATTTTTTGGTCCAAAAAATATAGGTTCGCGTTGCTTTTCTTAGCGTAATTTGTACTTATCTCCCATGCCTATCAATTTTGCACTTAAAAATACGTGTCTCATCCTAGCGTTTAAAAGACATCTCAGTTCCGTTAGGGCTAAGGAAAATAATTTATTTGGCCTTTGGTATAATGCAGAATGCACGAAGTCTCTAATAACAAAATATAACGGGCGCACATATCAACCAATCAGGATTAGCTATACTCTTAATTCTGAATACCATGTTATGCGCATAAAATGGCTGCACCCATAAAATCTAATGGTGTATTGTAACCTATACTACACTGTCGATTTGCTATATCACTGAGATACATTTATATACTATATAGACATGTTATATAACATAGAGTTACCGTTTCATACTATTCTGTAATTTAACTTTGTCATGAAGATATTTTTTATACTATGAAGACATCTTTATAACATGGAGCTACCTTTTCATACTGATTTGTCATTTCACTATACTATTATGTGATATTGCTATATCATAAAGATACATTGTATACTATAAAGACATCTCAATATAACATTGAGCTACTTTTTCATACTATTTTGTCACCTCACTATACTATTAAGTCAAGTTTCTATCTTATTCCGATAAAATTCTTTTCTATACAATCATCTCGATATAACATGGAGCAACTTTTTCATACTACTATGTCGTGTTACTATTTTACAATGATAAAGTCGTATACTACAAAGATATATTAATATAATGTAGAGCCACCTTTTCATACTATCCTATCGCCTCGTTATACTATAAAGACGTATTGAAATAACAGTAATGCTAACATGGAAGCGTAAAAAACAAGATCTTGAACTAGCAAGAAAATCAAAACTGGATGAAATGCATTAAACACGAGCCAACAATTCAGAAGCTGAAAAACGAGACTTTGTTGTTTTCCGAGCTGCACAGATTAGGGGGGAAATAACAAATTCATTAACGAAATTGTTACTACATGTAAATGTCAATGTCATTTCCCTTATATTGTTTTTGAAGATTTTTGATTAAAGAACACAGAGTCTAGCTCACACTTCTTTATGAAACTATTGCGAATACACATTTCTTAATTCCTTCTGGAAATCAATAGCCTACACTAACTTAAAAAGAAATAAAGTAAATTGTATTTACTTTGAACTCTGTCTATTATCTTTTAAATTGGTGAACAATCATCGCAGTTAATGGTCTTTTTCTTTTTTAGCCATGTTGTTGTCTGTTCATTTTCGACATATGAGTTTGAATGTCCCTCTGGTATCTTTCGCCCCTCTTTTAGTACGACGATTTTCCTGGTATTCATACCAGGAGTCTCGCAACTAATCGTCGCGGGACGTTTGTGCTTTTTGATAGAACAGTTCCGGTTTTATTTTCATGATATTTTCTTTTTTTTAATAGGCATTTGCGATTTATCAACATAACATATGAGTTATCATGGTGAAAAAGTTTCAAAAATCTTTATTTATCAAAAACATAAAACATTCATATATCTATATACAGCTAAAAAAATTAACCTATCCCTTATTCGTGTGTCAGATGAAAACGACAACATATCAAGAGGGTGGATGAAAGTAAATTCCTTATAACAACCATGATTCTTTCTAAACGTCAACATGTACAGCAGGTGATTTAAAAATTAAAGTTCGGTCCTCACAAATTGCTACAAGCTTAGAAAAACTTCGATGGTACAGTTCCTCGGACTATTCATGCCACAGAATGGACACAAGAGGAATACAGTTTCAAATTTTAAATACACGAATTATAAAGCTACAGGAAGAATTTAGGGCAAAGTTTAAATGTTCCATCAATAAAAGTTTCGTTTTCTCTGTAGTTTACCCAAAAACATATCCTATATTTTCTTATCGTATGTCTATGTTTACCCGAATAGTTTTTCTTTTCTTTTCGTTTGTTTAGAAGAACTTTCAAACAACACGTGAACATTTTCCCATGACTTTGGTAAATTTTGTTAAGATTATAGATAAACTATCATAGGTAAAAAGCGCAAATATTCTGTCAATTTTGTTCAGGTCTATCAAAGTTTAAAGCGCAAATGTATAGTGTTTGAAGCGCAATGTTCTTTCATGTTTCAAGGAAAAAAAGCGCAAACGTCCGGCGCCCCAAATAATCATACAAACAATTTCCGGAATTTGTATTGGTTTAAAAAAATCGTACGAGCAACCTGGCGGCTAATCGTACGATTTTTTTATTTTTTTGTTTACGGGGCATCAAAATTTTGAGAAAGTTGTAAAAAGTGCAATTTACATGGGCATACAACATTTACCATATGGCAAATTATATAAGTATCATTTCTTATCAAAAGTTATTCTATATTACCTGAATAAGTGTGATTTATAACAAAACTATGAAATTTTATCACTATGAATATATACTAGTCTAATGGTCTGTATAAATTTTGGTGAAATTTTGATTTTTCCTTCCAGAGTTATGGAATTTTTTTCATTTAAAAAGGGGGGAGGCAATGTTTAACATGCCATATTTGACTGGAATTTATTAAATTCGACGTAAACAAACACAAAATTGCGCCTTTTTTATATTCCTTGGTCAGCATAACTGTTATACTAATACGTCTTTATGATATAATGATGTATTATTATGATATAGTAATCTGTTAGAATAGCATAGTGAGGTGATAAGAAAGTATGAAAAGGTGGTTCTAAATTATATTAATATGTCTTTGTAGTATACGACTTTAACGTCGTAAGATAGAAATATGACAGAATAGTATGAAAAAGTTGCTCCATGTTATATCGAGATGATTGTATAGAATATATTTTTATCGTAATAAGATAGTAACATGCCATTATAGAATAATGAGGTGACAAAATAGTATGAAAAAGTAGCTCAATGTTATATTAAGATGTCTTTTTAGTTTATAAAAGATCTTTATGATATAGCAATCGTCAATGGCAGTCAGCAGGGTTTAAGAACATTAGTTGTTCGACCTGTTAGTCAAATGCTTTTTGTTAAAATATACTTTTCACTTTTTTTGGTCTTTTAGAAAATGTTGTTTGTGCTGTATTTAGACCCCTCTACCAAGAAATTTGTTTTACATACACACGTATAAAAATTGCGGTTTTTATCCAACGCAATCATAGGTTTGAACGTTGTTTTCAATTTAGACTCCTTTATATTTTTTCGTTTGGGCTTGTATTATATTTTCCTTCGGGTTTATATGATCCGTTCATCCTATTTCGACTCTTCAAAATTCAAGAGTCTATCCTAAATTGAGGTAAATTATATGGCCTTCCAAATACCGTTTCGATCCCTAACATCACTGAAGAATGTTTGCGGTATACCATCTTCTCCGCAAGTTTATTGTTTTCTATTTAGTATTAAATTAAATATAAGATCCATGTTACATCTGGTGATCAATTTATTTGGCAATCGTCAAGGGCAGTCAGCAGGGTTTAAGAACAATCAGTTGTTCGACCTGTTAGTCAAATGCGTTTTGTTAAAATATACTTTTCACTTTTTAGGTTATTTTCTCAGTAACGTTAACCTTTACCAGTAAGACCAATAATTTGAGAACCAAATTATGTGAACGATTGAAGAGCCTTACAAAGGACAGATGAAAGTGAAAAACAATATAACAAAATACCGAACTCCAAGGAAAATTCGAAACGGAAAGTATCTCATCAAATGACAAAATCAAAAGCTCACGCACATCAAACAAATGGAAAACAACTATCATATTCTGAAATATTCTGATGTAAATATTCCCCGAAGGACTATTTTTTTAGAAGTAACAATCCTTAATGCATCTTTTGATTTTAATAGTTTAAGTATTTAAGCAATGGATACTGTGAATTTGGTATTTAAACACAGGCTACTGAGCATTTGGTATTTAGGCACAGGCTACTGTACATTTGGTATGTAAGCACAGGCTACTGTACATTTGGTATGTAAGCACAGGCTACTGTTCATTTGGTATTTAAACCCAGGCTACTGTAAATTTGGTATGTAAGCACAGGCTACTGTGCATTTGGTATTTAAGCACATAATACTGTGCGTTTGGTATTTAAGCAATGGATACTGTGAATTTGGTATTTAAACACAGGCTACTGAGCATTTGGTATTTAGGCACAGGCTACTGTACATTTGGTATGTAAGCACAGGCTACTGTACATTTGGTATTTAAGCACAGGCTACTGTACATTTGGTATGTAAGCACAGGCTACTGTAAATTTGGTATGTAAGCACAGGCTACTGTGCATTTGGTATTTAAGCACATAATACTGTGCGTTTGGTATTTAAGCAAAGGCTGCTGTGCAATTGGTATTTAAGCACAGGCATTTGGTATTTAAGCACAGGCTACTGTTCGTTTGGTATTTAAGCAAAGGCTGCTGTGCAATTGGTATTTAAGCACAGGCTAATGTGCGTTTGGTATTCAAGATGAAGCTGCTGTGCGTTTCGTATCTAAGCACAGGCTTCTATGCGTTTGGTATTTAAGTACAGGCTACTGTGCATTTGGTATTTAAGCACAGGCTACTATGCAATTGATATGAAGCACAGGCTGCTGTGCACTTGGTATATAAGTACAGGCTACTTTGCGTTTGGTATTTAAGCACAGGCTACTCTGCGTTTGGTATTTAAGCATAGGCTACTGTGCGTTTGGTATTTAAGCATAGGCTACTGTGCGTTTGGTATTTAAGCAGGGGCTACTGTGGATTTAGTATTTAAGCACAGGCTACTGAGTATTTTGGTTTATCAGAGACAACTTTCACTAAATGCGACACCAACCAAGGTGTAGTTATTTAGGCGTGTAATTTCTGTATGTTCGCTGGTGTTTTCGAATTAACTTGCTGTGGATTCATTTATTTTCATGGGTACACATTGTCGTGGATTAAGGAAAGATTGTGTGTTCGTTAATACATGATTTTGTGGTTTTGTCATAGTTCGCACATAAGCCCATATAAAGTGTGTTCTTCGCTAAACATTTAAATTCGAAATCCACGATATTGTACCCACGAATAATATTGAATCCACAGTAGATGTATTTGGCTATGATATTTAGGTCCCTGTTGGTCAAGAAACATCTCACATGTTTCAGTTACTATGCATCCTTGGTTTTCAACTATTGATTTTGAGTTTTACCGATGAAGGTAAACCCAGAAAAGCGCTTAGAATGCATACAATTTATCAACGTTATTTTCAATCGCATGAATCATTTAAGAACGTAAAAATAAAGAGACTTAAAAGACAGCCAAATTCGGATACGGTGAATTATGCCTGATACATGATTTTATATATAAACTAATTTTACAATATTGCAATATATTGATTGATTGCTGATTAGTCAGCGATGTAAAATAAAAGGGTTGTTAATAGGAGATTACAGAACACTTTAAACTAAAGTATATGAATATTTCGATAAAACGAAAACATGGGGTATTGAGAGCTAATTGTGACTTCAAGTAGAAGATAAGGTTTCAAAAATAAATAAAGTGTGATGTCTTTTCATACGAAACATTCTGCACAAATAAACAAATTCTTTATTTATATAAGACTATAGTAGCCTTGAATTTCTTGATTTTCACCTTCAACTCTTGCAACAGCAATTAGTTCGGTACCACTTGCATTAAGTTTAACAAATATTCTAGCTCGACGTGTTATATCAAAATGAAGAATTCCTAAACAATAGCAAGTTTCTTCGTCAGTAAATTTAGGATTCTTTTCTTCTGATGCATAAAAGTCCAGAACGATTGATTTATGTTCCTCGGTAGTAGGATAATATTCATGCTCTTGTTGAAATTGTCCAATTTCTAAAATCTGTCCTATTTCAATATGTTTATCAAATGCATCGTCAATCATTGGTTTTCTTTGAGGACCTATTCTAGATATTCGTCTATCTTTATGAATTCTTGCATCATAAGGTGTAAAGTTTGGAACTCCATATGTATATTGGGAAACACGGCAAGTAACAGATTCTGGTTCAAAGGCATATATTATTGCTCCTTTTAGTACGGCCAAATCGGCATCTGCAGGTACAACGATTGCAAGATCAGGAAATGTTGACTTAATTTCGTCTATTAGAACTTGGGATTTTGAAAACCCTCCTACTGCTAAAATAGTTTTGATTGGGTTGTCTTCAGTATTTATTGACTTCTTTCTAAGAAGGTTTCCCAAATAATCGACAATAGCCGCAACTGATTTGTCAAAAAACGATTGAAAGAATTCTTTTTGGAGAAAAGCTTTATCTTTGCCAAAACGAACTTTGCCCTCAAACTTTGTTTCTCCTAGAGATTTATTAATTTCCACCCCTTTAAGTTCATTGTAACATTCAATTAAAGAATACGAGATTTTCATTCGCTCGCTTTCTCTTTCTCCAGTATAACTTATTTTCTTCAGTTCGAATTCATTCATAATTTCAAAATAATCGTCAGGGTTGTTTGTTCGAAATGTCGACATTACATCATCCCCAAAAACCTGATATAAGAAGTTTTTAAATTCTTTATTGATTGTGTTTGAACCCCAAACTCCTCCACAAGCTTGATGTATTTCCTTCAGATTCCCTTCTGCCATGACTTCATGAACTGTAATGTCAATTGTTCCACCTAAAATTGAATAGAATATTTTACTAAGGTAAATCAAGAAAAGCGCTTCGGACGCATGCAATTTATATAACGTGTTGTTTTCATTGTTTACATCACTGGGTCGATACCTCTGCTGGTGGACTATCAGTCCCCGAGAGTATCATCAGCTCAGTAGTCAGTACTTCGGTACTGACATGATTTATAACAATCCTTTCTAGAATTGTCCGTTTATAAATTTTGAAATTATAAAGAAACTACGATTTCAACTCCCTCAGGCAAAGTTGGCCTTAGATGGATTTGTCTATTTTATTAGGTTATTTTTGGTCATATAGCTCTTCAATTATTTCGGTTCTTATAAATTCTTGGCTTTCAATTATTTGGCTTTGAGCGTTCCTGATGAAGGTAAATCCAGAACAGCGCTTCGAACGCATGCAATTTATATAACGTGTTGTTTTCATTTTTTGCTTCTAGCATGTCCTTTCATCATTACATTTGTCAACTTTCAGATAATACATAAGGCGAATATTTGCCTCTTTAAGATATATCTCACACTTATATCAAATAAAGCTTTACGTATGAATCTTATTTATTTTGACTCAAAACTAGATAAGTGTGGACACAGTTTATTGTCTGGTTGGGGAAAGTAGACCCTGTATTTTAACGTCGTATCGATTTCGCTGCCAATAAAGGACAACTTTTCGAAGACATTATAAAACTGGATAAATTGCCATGACTTATGGGGCTTTCAAGATAATATAATGTTGAATTTGGTATTTGATTGTATTTACATTTAAGTTGATAGAAAGTAATATCATCAAATCTAATTGAAACTAGTGATTATAGTTAGTTCCTAGATTAAGGTAGAATAAAATAAAAAGATGTGGTATGATTGTCAACTATTCAACAAATGACGTGGATTTAAGCAGCTATATGTTACCGTACGACCTTCAACGAATAGAAACACTCATACCCTATAGTTAAAAGTCCCTGAAATGACAAAATGTTGCGGGGTTAATAGATATAAGTAGATGTGGTATAAATGCCAATAAGACAACTCTACATCCAAGTCACAATTTGTAAAAGTAAACCCTCAAAGTAAGGCCTTCAATACGGAGCCATGTTTGTGAGCGTCAACCCTCCCCTGACCTGGGACAGTGGTGTAACAAAACAACATTAGAACAACACGGTAAACATCAGTAGGAAATGTTTTGTGTCATCAGCACAAAGCTGGACACGAAGCAACACACAACAAAAATAAACTAACATAAGATAAAAGACACAAAGTACCAATCCAAGAGTACTTCGATGACAATATAACTATTAAATATATTATATAGGTATGTTTTAAAAAACGAGTTTTTATACAAAAAGATAAAAGTCATAAAAAAATCAAAATCTGAAAAACTATTCGAAATTTTACCTTTTAAATACATTATTTGAACAGATTTAATTTGAAAGTATAGAATTAACGTCCCAGTTAAATAAAATTAATATATGACTTATAAATTTTGTAGTTTGTATTGCTCTTTAATGTAAAAAAAAAATTATTGGTTCCGTATGTATTTTACATATTTATTCAAGCTTTCTATAAATCTGAAGGTTCATGTACTTCCAAATTGGACAGAAGTTCATCGTAAAATGTTCGAGTGTTATCCCAAAAATTTTATAGATTATGCCATGAACTAATTTTTTTAAATTAACACTTGGCAGAATTTAGTGTCAAACCGTCTACATCCTATTTTGACCTTTTGAATTTTAAAATTATCAAAATTTGGAAGAAAAGTCATTATAAACGAATGTTTAAAATGAAATGAAAATGGCGAGAAATTAAATTTGACTAAACTTCATAACCTATTTTTCCAACAAATGTTCTAAACAAATAGTTGTAACATCCATATACGCAATATTTTACTTCAATCAATTGCGCCAAAAGAATTTCATTTGCTCAAAAAAAAAATCTATTTGCACCACAAACCATATTTAATTAGTGCCAAATTAAAACCTTCCATTTGCGCCAAATTAAAACATTCCATTTGCGCAAAATCATTTTTTTTTCATTTGCGCCAAAATAATATATTTCATTTGCGCCAAAATAATATATGTCATTTACGCCAAACTAATATATTTCACTTGCGCCAATAATACAAGTAACACGAATAAATAATATATCTGTATTGAGCAGAAACCTTTAATAATAATGTTACAACATGGTTTTGATAGCCGTAAACACTGATTAGTTTTTCTTTCAAATGAGTATGAACTTACTTATTTACCCAATAGGGAGGGGGAATTCTATAATTTTTGATGCACTGTATCTCTGTTTAATTTATATTAGTACGATTGTACTTTGTACATGTATTTCAACTAAAATCTTAGCCTTTGAATACATTCTTTCACTTAATATTAACTAGTTAATTAAGTACAACAATGTCCTTGATTGTCATGTAAAAGGCTTCTTCCTTGCAAAAATTTGAGTAGTGCAAACATTTAGTTTACCTATTTAATATATCGTAAAATACCTTCTTTTTTGACAAACATTGGTTAAGTAAAAGAAATATGAATTGGAATTGAGGAAAAAGAGACAAAAATTAGTATGTTTTAAGAATGACATGCAAAAAATGCTGTGTGTGAGGTAAACTTAGATAACAGATGTCTGTTTAGTGTCTTTAAATATCAGCTGCATTTGTACGAGGTTAGGAAACGGGTGAAATGCGAAATTCAGTGAGCATTTCTTCTGTTTCGAGCCGAGTATAAATATAGCTTATATTAAAAGACATTAAGCACGTATTGTCTGTTGTCTGTATCCTTCAATCAATTAAGTGCAGTGTTGTTGCTTTAACACATACGACTTCTCATAGCTGAGGCAAATATTTTTATTTTTTTCCCCTTGTGGCCTCGCGTTATAATCTGAAAGGAAATTAACCGGCACAATCAGCTGATGACTGGTACGCGAAAAGAAGCACACATGGCCAATAAAAGATACAAAGATTTACGTAAGTGATTATGCATTTTAAGTTATAACATAACAACTAATTCAATCAGAAACTTAAAATAACTAAACATTGTCAAATTTTAAACGGAAATTTATTTTTCGCTTCGGATCTGTACGGAAGAACTTTTCGGATCATGGTTGATGTAATAGAATATACGATTAAAAGAAGGGAAGACGTTAGTTTTTAATTTTTATTTGATGCTACTTGGTATGAATAGTTAAAAACAACAGAAATGTAAAATAACCGCAAGTTCACGAATGCATAAGCAGTAAGTCATTTGTCATAAGTCACAGATCACAGAAGTTTACACAATACGTCATACGCATGCAATACACACAAGAAGTCTGGAATTTAATAGCGGAGTTTAAAACAGCTAACGTATAGTATACATTTACAGTAGATTGATATCTGGTTGTAAATGTATGATAAGATTCCCAATTGCAGGATAAATGGGTTTTAATGATTAAAATATAAAATGAAATATAAAATTTCTAGATTTAAAACAATGCTTATAAAGATATTCCAATGCTAAACAGTGCATGAATGCCTCATACTAGTTGGTTCACATTTTTTAACCTTTATGATAAAGTTCGTAGCAAAAAAGTATTTGAAAACTAATTGTAATGTAATTAACAAAGGTTTCAATTCCCTCAGGCAAAGTTGACCTTAGACGGATTTGGCTATTATTCGTAGGTTCTTTTTTCCTACAAATTAGACCACGATAGCAATTCCTTTCGTAGATAATGATGTACAATTAGAATGTTCCTAGTGAAAATCGTGGGATGCATAGGAAAGTATCTGTAATCAAATAGTATTTTCTTATGGATAAGACGATAACTGTCACAATCGGTTGACCAAACTGGTAAATAAGGATCTAAGTCCGCGAAAAAACATATCGCTAAAAAGTTAAGACAACGACATATCGTACCAGTCAGCCAACTTGTGATGGTTAGCGTAAAATTTATATTGTGTCGATTTCAGTCATTTTTCCTCATATATCTGTTGAAACAATGTTTGTTTAAGGAGCACATCCCTGCTAATGAAGTCCGTACAGTGTGAACATGCAAGTTTAATCTACAAACAGTAACGCTAAAATTGAAAACGTTGGACCAAGGATGTTCGCTTTGTAAAAGTCGAGCAAAATGACACCACATACTTTGTTGAAAAAAAGAATAACGCTAACATTGAGACATTGACATTATAATTTTCCAGGACAAAGTTTGTAACTATTCGAGAAATTCGTGTTCCTAAATTATTTCATTGGAGGAAAGGAACATAGGTACTATTATATCTGATTTGAAACTATTTATTCTTGTTTCAACATTTGAAGCATTAGTTAAAAATGATTGTTTTCATGTCGCTCTGGTTTCATCCCTCGATAGGTTGAAACATGTCCTTTTCCTATATCTGCCCTACGCCTCGAATGACACTATTTTTCTTTTAGGTCTCGGTACCTTCTATTAAAGTTTTTGATAAAAGGGAGAAACTTCCTTTGACAATACATCACTTAACAGCTACCCGAAATTAGCATGCGACTACGTTTGTTTACTTTCGGAATTTTCGTGTGGTAATTTTGACGCCAATTTTCTACGATCTTCTACAAAGACTTATTTTGTCGTTCTGTATTCTGTTACAGCAAAATGTAGAGGAACAAATAATAATTATAATCCATGTATATAATTTTACAGTAAGAGAGAGCATAATTTAGAATTCCATGGTGAAAAAAGGTGGCGTGGTATTTCTATCAAAAACGATTTTATATTTTCAGATTACGGAATTATATCAATCCAAATACATGTAGTTTTGTTGTCAACCATTGGCAAAAGTTTTCACTTAGAATCAAACAAAATACTTTAAATGTTTAATTGGAAAGGTTAAACAAACAAGTGTATGCTAATGGAGACCTAGCATTCACGAATCCTCAATAAATATCCCCTTACAGAAACAAATATGAACAAAGCTTGCGTAAAATTTCCAGAGTCCTCCGCTGTATCGTATATGTTGTTCTGACGAACCTACACCAAGCAGCAAGGTCTCAGTTGCTAAAAATCCATTAAATGCTATGCGAAATCTAACAAGAGCTAGCTACGCATTGAGGAAGAAAAACCTTAGTATTTCTAATGAATTAAACAATTTAATTACAAATAAATGACCGCGTCATATATATATATATATATATATATAGGACTCTAAAGTGCGATGGTCCTCTAAAGTGCAATGGCCACGCTAAAGTGCGATGGTCTACGCTAAAGTACGATGGTGTCTCACGCTAAAGTGCGATGGTTGTTTATTTGCTAAAGTACGATGGTACATGCATATCACGCTAAAGTGCAATGGACCAATAGGGTAAGGTTCGAGGGACTAAAACGTTAAAATAAATGGATTTAAAAATATCTATAGTAATTTTGCAAAAGCTAGTGTGCTAAGGCAATTATAGTTTGAGGTTGGGTGATTATTTTAGCTAGATTGATTGGACTATAACATATGTGACAGGCTTTATAATCTACCGGTAGTCTAGGGTGATTGTTTCTAAATTTAGAAGACCGACCACGTAATAATTGCTCAAAAGGTAATTTAGGTGTGACAAAATACTGTATTTCCTGTTAAATGAATTTTTAAAATTCGGGCGTATCAAATATTTGGATAATTGGTGTAGCTTGTCGCTCACACAGTCTATCAATACCCAATCTTAACATCCCCCTTTTACAGTCGTCATCATGTAAATTACAAATACAAAATGCGTTCATTGTCGGAATAAGTAACATTAATTGTACAAGGCTTGAAGCATTAGTTTAAATGCAAGAAAATTGCGATATTCGCCGAGCTTTCTCCTTTTTCGTACCGAATACTAATACATGTTATATTTTCCCACACTGTAAAAACTTGTGTTTTAGCCGACAAATTATAATTTACGCCTAAAAACATGTACCTTTATTTAATGATTTAAATGTATCCGTTCGCTTCCAACAGTAGCAGGATACAGGATACCTATGCGTATACTATTTTGTATCTATATAGTAAAATGGTCGACTGCAACTCCTTCTTCCAGCACCCCAAAAAAACACATTTGCTTCAGCCGACAAAGCACGGTAAGATCTGAAATCAAGTCATGGAAATTTGGTTTTAAAGTTGTCAATCAAGTATTCTTAATTTATCTTACGGTATATTCATTTTTGGTTTGTATAAACGACTGTTAACGTCACAATCCAACTACGTTTCTTATGTCTATACTTTCGCGGACCATCGGACTTTAGCGTATGGAGGCATCGCACTTTAGCGCAGACTCTGACGAGGAAAGGTAACACCCGGCCACCGAAAGCTTTATTATTATAGAACCTCGGTGGTCGAGTGGTCTAGCGCGTCGGGCATAGTGCAAGGCGATTTGGTGCCACGATATCTCAGTAGCATGAGTTCGAATCCCGGCCAGGGAAGAACAAAACAATTTTCTTCGGCAAATTTACAGATCTAACATTGGTGGGCTGTTGTTTAGACGAATTATAAATACAGAATGTATTTTCAGCCTTGTATCACCATCACTGCTGGTGATCCGATGGATAAAATCTGTTGTAGAGTCTTCACTGATTCAGACGTACTTATTATTATATATATATATATACAAGTCTTAATTGAAAACAACGTTCAAACCTATGATTGCATTGCATTAAAACCGCAATTTTTATATGAGTGCATGCAAAACAAATTTCTTGCTAAATACAGCACAAACAACATTTTCCAAAAGACCAAAAAAGTGAAAAAGTATATTTTAACAAAACGCATTTGACTAGCAGGTCGAACATATATATGGCATATATATAAAGGCAACAGTAGTATACCTCTGTTCAATAGACTTAAATCGATTAAGCGAAAACAAATCCGGGTCACTAACCAGAACATAGGGAAATATATCAACTATAAGAGGAAAAAAGCGGAACAACAGAAACACTGAACTGCAACAAAAATAAACGCCAACATACATAGAAACGGACTATTTGATAGCAACTGCCATATTCCTGACTTGGTAGAGCATTTTAAGAAAGTAGTACAGATGCGTCGACTGTTGGCAAAATGACACCCCCATGCCCGTTACATTCACCAACGGTTTTACAGCTAACACACATTTGCACAGAGTTATAAGACCCCCTCTAAATTAATATACTAGATAGTCATATAAATAACAAAGCAAACTGTCATTGTAAACTGTTAAAAACTCGTCAAAGATATCAGGCTTATGATTAAACCCTGAAGATTGGGAAACATACGCTGCTATATCTGGTTATTACTTTTTTATTTACCTTTATTTATTTTGTTTAAAATAATTTGTCATTATTACCTCCTTGGTCAAGAACAATATATTTCGATCCAATTGGTAGTTGTGAAATCGTTTTGTCACCATCCTGTTTTTCTTCTACAAATATTGGCATTTTTCTGCAATATAAAGATGCTGCTTCTGGTTCTAACGCTAATATTAACTGGTCAGAAGGAATTCCTGCCTAAAAATTTAGTAAAAGTAAAACATATAATCGCCAGTTCCATGTTTTAATGTGTACAGTCCTGGAAAGTTAGGAACTTCATATGCTTTAAACCTGTTAAGGTATGTATAAATTTGATTTTGATGGTTCGTCATCAAGACTCGGGAGTAGTTTTCGACGTCATAAAATTACTTTTAGTAGTACTTGCAAATGTTTACATTTTTCGATGACAAAGATGTCATTTCTAAAGAAAGAAAATACAATTGTTCAAAGATAGCCATGCTTTAACTATGTAGCCTTTTGCAAGAAGTCTTCTCAGATAAAATGAACCGAATTATTTGCAATGCACATTTTGGGATTTTCCCTTTTCATAAATATTAATGCACTGGCACCGAATATTTGCAAAGTAAGATATGAAAATAAATGGGAAAGTTATATTATTCAAAGGGACACAAAAAACTTGATACACCCATGTTTGACTTGATGGAGTTGCAATTTACTGAAAACATTCCAGTTGGCAAACTTAAATCACCTGAATAGCAGATTCTCTCATGAATTGTTTTGCCTTTAGATCCCATATTCCTGGTACTGTTATAACCCAGAGTATATCATTTTCTGTTAGATCTATATAACTTTTTTGTGATTTCTCAAGCAGTAGTTTCGTAAAGTATTTAATAATAGCAGAAAATACATCAATTGCCTTCATTTTTGTCTTTTGGGGTCCAGGAACCATGTCATCAATCTCTGTTTCAACATTCAATTGTTTCTGAAACAAAACCATGAAACCAAGCTAATTAAACTAATTTTACCTGAGAAATACACGTCCAATAAATGGAAATTGTCACACATTTTTTTCAAATAAAAAAGATATGGGCTTTTTTTTAACATTTTTTACATATATTTGTTTCACTCACAGCGTTAATAAAGAGAAATCAAAATCTACCGGCTTCAACTGATTGATATATTACAATCAGATTGCAATTATGAGCTTCTGATGTCAAAACAAAACATCCTCCTGGGATCAGATATTATAAATGTCTCTGGAAATTTTTCATTGTTCTAATGAAGTACTATATTTCTTCTTCTATATTGAGCTCACTGTTGCCTTGTGTTAACTTTGCAAAAATCTTTCAAAATTGCAATTTTGGTTTGTCTTTAGGCATTTATAAAAAAAGTCTGACATTTAGAAATAAGCCGTAATGTTTTAGAAACTTAAAAAAAAAATATACCAAAACAATTAGCAAAAATATACAACTACGTTTTTTTTAATATATTACGTTTTTAATCAACTCATTAATCCAAAATTTTTAGGACTACTGTATGTTGTCGTAATTTAATGCCGTTCTTTCGTCGAGATTCCGACAAGAACTCATAGGACATATAGGTAGTGATGTTCAGTAGTTGTCGTTTGTTGATGTGGTTCATAAGTGTTTCTCGTTTCTCGTTTTTTATATACTAAAGTAGATTAGACCGTTGGTTTTCCCGTTTGAATGGTTTTACGCTAGTAATTTTTTGGGGCCCTTTATAGCTTACTGTTCGGTGTGAGCCAAGGCTCCGTGTTGAAGACCGTACTGTGACCTATAATGGTTTACTTTTATAAATTTTGACTTGGATGGAGAGTTGTCTCATTGGCACTCATACCCCATCTTCTTATATCTAAGTACCACCTTTTTACGATCTGTGTACCTTGTATTCGTAAAGAATCATCTTGAAGTTTTTGAAAAAATACCATTTACTAAGATCCCCATACTCTTCTGGTTCATAATATTTTTTTTCTGCTTCATATCCAAAACTGTCGAAAGTCATGTCTGGTTTGAATAATACGGACGTTGGTGCCTTATTTGTAATTCCATATGTCGATTTCCAATCGTGGCAATATATTTTTGTCATATCAGCTCGCATACAGTGTGCAAATCCCGAGAAGGTGGTTCCAAAGTCAATCGCAGCAACCATTAGCTTTAAGTGTTTCTTGCTCTGAAAAAAAGGTGTTCTTTTAAAATATGTGTAGTAGTTCGCTTTCAAATAATTAGAAGTTAAAATATTATATGTTATCACTTGAAGGTTATAGTTTTCAATTTCTATTTGAAAAAAGTAAAATAACAAAAATACTGAACTCCAAGGAAAATTCAAAACGGAAAGTCCCTAATCAAATGGCAAAATCAAAAGCTCAAACACATCAAACGAATGGATAACAACTGTCATATTCCTGACTTGGTACTTGAGTAAAACTATTCTACAGTAAAGAAGACTTTATGACGTAAGATGCACTAAGTCTTGTAACTTGGGTTACTCTGCTACTTTTAGGTCCCTTTTTTCTCTCCTCTTGTTTCATCTTTATTTGTTTCCCAATTTTTGGTTTCAATGTAAAACAAACCGAATTTCATGAGCACAATGTGCATTTTTTACCTGCATCAGATAGGAGCAACAAATTTTGAGTAACAAAGTTTTCATTTCATGAACTGATTCTTTCCACGCACATGTCAAGGTTCATCATTAACAGGTATTGTCTTACCAATTATTCGGGTAAGGGATGCAATTCTTCACATGAAGTTCTAAATATTTTGAAGATCTGGCTCCCAAAATATTTGACCGCGAATGTTATTTCAGAAGACTTATGCATTGCAAAAGAATTTTCACTCGCTGCTCATTTTCGTTAACGAACTGCTATGCGATATATTTTGATTATTTTACTGCCGTCCTCTGTCGTAGTATTAATGATAAACTTTAATTGTAAAGCATTAACGATCTTCTGTATCAAGAAAAGCAAAAGGATTTTTTTAAAGGGGGTAATATTGAATAATACATCGAAGATGGCGAATGACATACTATAATTCTTGTGGATTATTTTTATCAATTAAACTATTTTCACAATGAATAAGATTGCAATGAAAAACAAACGATCATGCATATTTTAGTTCGTAGTTATGAATTCGATACACGGCAATGTGCAAAGAATACGTATAATAAAATTTCGTTAGGCTCGACACGTGTTCTAACTTCACCACGCTGGTGACCAAATAAATTATAAAAAAAACACTTAAAAGCGAATTTCTGGATTTATCTGTAAGGTATAAGGGATTTGCTCATTGTTGAAGGCCATTTTGTTACAGATAGTTACTAACTTCTTCGTCAGTTCGTCTTTGGTGGAAAGTTGTCTCATTGGCAATCGTACCACATCTTCTTTTTTTATATCAATTAGCAAATCTGATGTTTAGTCATTTATTTTTGAAGATTTCTAGAACCCAAACGGACCATAATACCGTCTGACCTATCGCCTCCGTAAATATCATGATATGAATAGGTCAATATTTTGACAATAAAATGATTTAAAATAAAACAGTTTTATTTCGCAAGCCATAAATTATGCAATTTTGAATTAATCTAACATAAAGACAAAATTTCGGGTTACTAGTGTTAAGTTAAGTCTGCCTCATATCTTGACTTACATCTAGAAATTGACAATGAGGGTCGGTTGAAAACAAAACTTTACGACAAAAGAGATGATTTCAGCTTCCCAATTGTGAACTTTCCATTTCTATGTAGCAACATTCCAACAGCGCCTGCATACGGAGTATATATCTCCCAATTGATACGATATTCCCGGGCTTGTATTTCCTACCATGATTTCCTTGATAGAGGATTGCTGCTCACAAGGAAGCTATTAAACCAAGAGTTCCAAATGGTGAAGTTGAAATCATCCCTTCGTAAATTTTACGGACGCCATCACGAGTTGGTTGACCGTTATGGAATAACCGTTTCACAGATCATATCGAATATGTTCCTTAAGTCGTAACTACAATACCCTTCCCTTTTCACGAATGTGACCTACCGAATTAGATTATTTACCGGATTTGTAATAACATAAGCAACACGACGGGTGCCACATGTGGAGCAGGATCTGCTTACCCTTCCGGAGCACCTGAGATCACCCCCAGTTTTTGGTGGGGTTCGTGTTGCTTAGTCTCCAGTTTTCTATGCTGTGTCATCTGTACTATTATTTGTCTGTTTGTCTTTTTATTTTTGGCCATGGCGTTGTCAGTTTGTTTTCGATCTATGAGTTTGACTGTCCCTCTGGTATCTTTCGTCCCTCTTTTAGTGAATGAATTAGGATATTGTTTCCTTCGTGAATTATTTTATATTGGTTTATTTGAACGTGTATGCTTTGTATGATATTCATGTTACGAATCAGTATTTGTTCTGATGGCTTATGTCTTCAAATTCTGGGGGGGGGGGGGGGGGGGGGTTGGAGTCACTTAGTAGCTTTTTTGCTTCAAGCATGGAATTATGATATTGAAAATATTTTTTTATGAATCTGAATGATTACCTTTATCGTTGTCTTTTCATCTTTTTCATCCTTCACAGTTTTTATGGATGGCATGGAATCACTGTCCTCCTATACCAAATCATTATTAGAAAATTGTTGGTGGAGGCATCGAGTTCGACAGTCATATATAATTTAATTCACAATTATCAGTATATTTTATTTCAAATCATAAGAATCCGTGTTTTAAAATTCGAATAAAAATGCCTTCCTCGCTATTATCCTAATTAATTGATAATCAGTATTAAATTTTAAATTCGATTTTAAAACACAATTACGTCAAACAAGTGCTACACATATCATATGCAATATGCCTTCGTCATATGCTTATAGATAAAGTATTGATACTCTAATGTCATTTTCTACATGCTAACTAGCTATCTAATAAAAAATTAAAAAACAAGTCCACAAAAGACGAATCAATGAAAGTAGGGAACCGACATTTCAGGAAGGACCCCGCTTGCACCTTTTGTTTTGTGAGGGAAACAGAAACACGTTCTCAATGCATATTCACACAAATCAAAACATGTCCATGGGGTATCAATCAATTTTCGGAAATTTTGTCACTACATATTATTATATTAATATTTCAGGTTATGTTTTATATAGATATTTAGTTTCGTTTAAATCCAATCTCCATGAATGGTTTATGTATTTTGGAAGCAGTTTTAGAAAATGGTTGCTGATGGATTTGGATTAACATATTATTCACACCACAAAAAGCTTGTTTTCTTAAAAATGCATGAATTTCTTTCCACAAAAATTATGTGTATATCACATTTCCCCCAAAATTTTCTCTCAAATTCTAATATTTGACTTTATGAAGCAATTTGCAATAGCATAATATACATATATCGCAATTGTAAGTTTAAATCCTAGCACTAAAGGTTTCTGAAAATTTCTAGGTGGTTTTTTTTTTTTTGCGTTGTGTTTTCTTTTTTTTTTTATTTATTAGCTAAAGAAGTTGTTTTTACTGCAACTTAGACACCAGTAAAATTTGGAATAACATTATACCTATACACCAAAAGCTACGTATTTTACGATAATATCCCCCCATTTTTCACAAAAATCAAAGTTTTGACTACAGAATTAAAAACGTCATAGGAAATTAGTCCACTATATCAATTTCCTTTGAAACAAAAAGATGCTTCTAAAACATTATGTGTCATTTTTTTCGGCAGTCTTCGGATGTCACCTCGATGGTCAATTAGATGGCGTCTAGACTAAAATACACGCGAAATGCTGATTCTTATTATCGAGTCTGTTCATCGTAAATTGTTTATTTTAGACTTTTTATAATATGGATATACGTTTTAGTATGTTATAAATCAAATATGAGAATTTGAATCAAATCGGTGAATGTGAATTTAACAGCTAATGCCCCTTTAAGAGTATTAAGGAATGCTAAGCTATTCGATGCAAACTCAAAGTACCTTATTAGATAATCAAGAAATCATCTTTTTCACGCTTTTGTGTGTCACTGATTTTAACAAGCTTATGGGTATTAACAATTTATCAATTCAAAGCAGATTATTTTAACTAGTAACAATGTGATGCTTACTTTTGGTTGTCTCTCTACACAAACTTCGACCGTGAAGTCCTGGAAAATATAAGATATCATATTACAAAGCATTACGACTAAATTTGAATTTGATATTATAGGAATTTTGTATTATTGAAATAATTTGAATAGCGTATTCTAATAACTGATGGTCAAATGTAAAAGGTCTTGTATGAAACTGGGTTAACAGGGAACTGAATAATTGAAAAGTCAGAGGATTCAAAACTATGATGAAGTAAATGTTCAAACAAGACAAAAAGACTAAGACGAGCAACGATTCGACAAAAAATAAAAAAATGAACGAAAAATACATAAAACAGACTGAGGATCACGAAACACTTAAGTTTCACTATGATATTGAAATAGTGTAAGCACTCTCTGATTTCGGCGTGGCTCTCTTGAGTAATTCATGATTTGATATTCAGAATACTAATAGAGAATCTGACGTAACCATGACAAATAAAAGTAAAACTAGCTAATATTGATGACCGAACAATTGCCACATAGTTAAATTTAATACCTGTGGTTTAACGTTATCCGTTTGGATACCAGCTTTACCATCACCAAATTGATTATGAACATTATGTGGCATCATATCTTCTTCTGTTTGGTCATTTTTGTCAGATTCGTCTCCATTATTTATTCTTTCTGTCTTTTTCTTCTTGTGCTTCTTCTATACAATATATTGGCAAATATCGGTAATAATTGTCCTTTCCTAGATTTAGATATTTCAGTTTTACACGGGAAACTCTTAAACTAATATTTCGTTCTCTATTGTTAATTTTCTTTTATTGGACGGTGACGTTCCTTTGACACCATCATATGGTGTTTATATATCACAATTCGTTCGCCATGGCCGTGTCTGTTGTGACGTTTTGGATTTCAATAAACTTAATCTAGTTATTAAGTTAGCGATTTCGTTACCACAAATTACTTAAAACCTTTACTTAATTTTCCATAGATATAAAGATTTGGTTTGGTTTGGAAGTTTAGTTGTATGTGTAGAAAACTTATTCTTAACGGGATAGCAAATCCTAATTTTTACGGAGATGTTTAGGTGTCAGAGCACCAATTCACTCCGTCTAATTTAGAACGTATGTAAAAGTAGCCCTACTCTGACACAAAATAGTGCTTTTGATGTCATTGTTTACTTAAACTAACCAACAAACTTTTGGTGAAAGAGAAATATATTTAGACCATTTTGAGCCTAAATTTACTTGTTTATGAGTTTGCATTAAAAATTGAGGTTTAATGCGTTCCATAGTATACTAATTTAAGATTTCCAGAAAACCAGGGGTTATGTTTAGTAGTACTTGGCTTCCGAAAGGCAGTTCTTTCTTACAAGATTTTAAACATGGGTTGAAAAGTGGCATGTAGAAAGGTGATACATGTACAATTCAGGATATACCTGGTTTTTATGAAGTTAAACTTATTAAGGTAAAATATTAAAAAAGCTGTGAAAATTTCAGAATTTGGTTGAATAGATAGGGATTTTGAATTTGTGGTCTGACACCTTACTAAGTCCGGAAATTTAGATACGATCCGGGTAAACGTATCGATACTTTTAATAAACTTATTCTAAAAGGTTACCAGTCCAACACTATAATTAGATCTTTGAAAATTGTTTTATTGGTATTAACATTGATTTTGTTATCAGTAAATTAAAATCAAACTAAATATTATTTGTATATACAAATTATGCACATTCATGACTCTACAATCTGTCGATACCTGTAGCTTGGTATTGCACAAGGTCGTGTTTTTCTCTGACTGTTAGGCCCCCATCACACTAGACCAAGACCATGAAGATCCCACTACGATCTATAAAAAAATAAGATCGCGGTGGGATCGTGGTATGGTCGGCTTGAATATTCAATATTTCATAGTTTTCACGTTCATACCACGACCTTGCTACGATCCTGATAAGATCCTGCTACGATTCCGCTACGACAGTAATACATTCTAGTTACGATCTTGTCACGCTCTTGCTACGTCGTATGATTTCTCGTAAAGGACCTTACCAGGACTTACACGATCTCTGTACGCTTCTACCAATACCTTCCCAATCACATTACGATCTCAGTACGAGTCTACTACGATTGAACCATGACTCCACTACGTTTCCACTACGTTGTCACTACGCTCTTCGTCCGTATAAATATCTTGGGGTTGGGGTTCCGGGGGTTGGGACCCCCCTTTTTTTGACGATCAATGCATTTGAATGGGCACATATAGTTGGAACCCCCCACCCCTTTATCCTGGATTAGGAACCCCCACTTTTATAAATGGCTGGATCCGCCCCTGCTGCGAGATCTGCACTAAGGGTCTTTTTGTTGTTGGGATGTACAAGTACTCTGCCACGTCCACTCTGTGCTTTTATACGACCGCAAAAATTTTTTGCGGTCGTATATTGGTATGACGTTGGCGTCGTCGTCGTCGTCGTCGTCGTCTGGCGTCGTCGTCGTCGTCGTCGTCGTCCGAAGACACATTGGTTTTCGCACTATAACTTTAGTTTAAGTAAATGGATCTCTATGAAATTTTACCATAAGGTTAAATACTACAAAAGGAAGGTTGGGATTGAATTTGGGACCAACAGTTAAGGAATTAGGGGCCAAAAAGGGGCCAAAAATAAGCATTTTCTAGTTTTCAGACAATAACTTGTGGAACGGTGTATGGATCTCTCTGAAATTATACCACAAGTTTCCATACCACAAAGGGATGGTTAGGATTTGCTTTATGGGGTTATGGCTCAAACCGTTTAGAAATTAGGGGCAAAAAAGGGGGAAAAACAAGGTTGTCCTGGTTAATGGACAAATACTTTAGTACAAAACATAATTTAAAGCAGTGTAAGGGAGATAAATCAAATACATCATTTGAATTACCTCCCTTACACTGCTTTTAAATTATGTTTAAAGTAATGGTTAATGAACAATTAAGACAATTTAAAAACAGTGTAAGGGAGGTAATCCTAATACAACGTTTTGATTACTTCCCTTACACTGCTTTTAAATTAAGTTTAAAGAAATGCATATTTATAAAGGAAGACCAGTAAAAATATCTGTAAATGTTGCATCTTTTTTTTTTACAAAAAAATCCATACGAAATATTTGACACCATATTTTAAATTCTATTATAAAATAGATTAAGTTAGCACTATGGTAAATTTAATTGGGTAACTATGGTTGCAAACTCCATTGGAAATATGAATTGAGATTATGACCATATCTTGAGGGAAATATTTTTTTGTGGGAAAAAGAGGGGGGGGTAAAGAAATTGTGGGGTGTCAATTTTTTCTCATTTCAGATTTCAGAAATTAAAAAGAATTATTCTTCAAATATTATTTTTTTTTTCAAATTTCAAATAAGAAGTAATCTTTAATTGCACAGTATGGCGCATTAGATTTGTAAAATCTTTGACCACATTTATTTATTTTTATGCCGAATCTGACCGTGTATTTAGATTTTAAATTTTGGGTCCAGTTTTCAAATTGGTCTACATTAAGGTCCAAAGGGTCCAAAATTAAACTTAGTTTGATTTTAACAAAAATTGAATATATGTGGTTCTTTGATATGCTGAATCTAAACATGTATTTAGATTTTTGATTTTAGGCCCAGTTTTCAAGTTGGTCCAAATTGGGGTCCAAAATTAAACTTTGTTTGATTTCAACAAAAATTGATTATATGGGGTTCGTTGATATGCTGAATCTAACCATGTATTTAGATTTTTTATTTGTGGGCCCCGCTATCAAATTGGTTCATATTGAGGTCAAAAGGGTCCAAAATTAAACTTTGTTTGATTTCATCAAAAATTGAATTATTGGGGTTCTTTGATATGCCAAATCTAACCGTGTATTTAGATTTTTAATTTTGGGTCCCGTTTTTTATATTGGTCTACATTAAGGTCCAAAGGGTCCAAAATTAAACTTAGTTTGATTTTAACAAAAATTGAGTTCTTGGGGTTCTTTGATATGCTGAATCTAAACATGTGTTTAGATTTTTAATTATGGGCCCAGTTTTCATGTTGGTCCAAGTTGGGGTCCAAAATTAAACTTTGTTTGATTTCAACAATAATTGAATATATGGGGTTCTTTGATATGCTGAATCTAACCATGTATTTTGATTTTTGGGCCCCGTTATCAAATTGGTCCACATTGAGGTCAAAAGCGTCCAAAATTAAACTTTGTTTGATTTCATCAAAAATTGAGTTCTTTGGATTCTTTGATATGCTGAATCTAACCATGTATTTAGATTTTGGATATTGGACCATAATAGGTAAATTAAAAAATTTAAAGTTCTTATACCACATTCATTCTGTGTCAGAAACCTATGCTGTGTCAAATATTTAATCACAATCCAAATTCAGAGCTGTATCAAGCTTGAATGTTGTGTCCATACTTGCCCCAACTGTTCAGGGTTCGACCTCTGCGATCGTATCAAGCTGCGCACAGCGGAGCATTTTATTGTTAGATATATTTCTGCTTTGTATCAATCTAACGGGAACTGATTTTTATAGTTTATTCTTATGTTGTACTGTTACACCTCAGTCCCAGGTTAGGGGAGAGTTGGTGCCTTCAAACAAGTTTAACCCCGCCACATTATGTATGTGCCTGTCCCAAGTCAGGAGCCTGTAAATCAGTGATTGTCGTTTGTTGCTGTATATCATATTTGTTTTTCGTTCATTATTTAGCACATAAATCAGGCCGTTTATAATAGTTTTCTCGTTTGAATTGTTTTACATTTGTCATTCCGGGGGCTTTTAAAACTGACTATGCGGTATTGGTTTTACTCATTATTGAAGGCCGTACAGAGACCTATAGTTGTTAATTTCTGTATCATTTGGTTCCTTGTGGAGAGTTGTCTCATTTCCAATCATACCACATCTTCTTAATCTTATATACATGTAGAATGATATAATAATTATCCTAATGCATGATATATTCATCAGCAAAGTGCGAAAGTAACTCTTCTAACCCTAAGAAATGTTCACAGCCACTTCAAGTAAATATCCCCACCTTAGCCATTGCTGAATGCACAGATTTAATGAGGAAATGCTCATCAGTACGCATGATGGACATGGCTTTGACGAACAGAGACAAAATGGTGAAAATAAATTGTCCCTGAGCGTTGAACTCGGGTACTCTGACATGTTGTGCTTTATAAATTGCACTAATTAAGAGATTTTAGTGTAAATTTCGGTGATAAGATTATTTTGTTCCTAATAAACCTTATTATTATACGCGTCCATCGTCGTTCAAATTAGTTCAACTTCTCAGCACTGAAAAGATTAGTGTAATTTGTGTAAATTCCTATTTAATGTACTATTGACTATTGGATTGTAAATAACAGAGAACCTAAGGTCCCGATTTTCAATCAAGTTAGCAAAATTTGATGCAGAAATGCAGATAACTAATGTGAATTTTCATTTCAAAGAACACATTTATTTATATTTTACAAGCGTAGATTATTTTTGCTTGATTTTAAATGTTTTTAAAATAGCATTTTCAGGGGCGGTAACTCTGAAATAGTGCATTTTCTGAAGGAATCTACATGAAATTTTGCTATTTTATATTTTAGCCGGAAAAAACGTACGGTGACCCTATCTTTTCTTTTGATATTCTCAAAGCATTTTCTAAAAGCTATCTTCGCGTATTTTATTTTACAATTCTATCATTTAGTTTAGCTTCTAATCACATAATGATATTTTTTTCCTGTATAATCCATACAAAATGTGTCATTTTGTCACAACCTGTAGTTTGAGAAAATGCTCGGTGACCTATCATTTTTATTATATTTTTTAACATTATCACAATATATTATACTACGTTTAGGCAAAGTATGAACAAATTCTATCATTCTTTATTTATACTCCCATACCTACTTAATCATAGGACTGAACTGTTAATGGACAATACTTGATGCTTATTTGCTTCTTTGATGTATTATGCCATTTTATGTTATACAAATGTATTTGTATTTATTATACCGATAAGCATAATGTGCTTAAAGTAATAAAGAATTGAATTGAATATGCTATGACTATGACAAAGGACGAAAGGCGAAATTAATTCTGATAGAGCTGGAAACTATCCTCCATTGTCTGTATAAGATATTTTGTAATGATTAACTTAGTCATGGCGGGTGGTGGCTTTAAATTCGTCTTTGAATCCTTGCATGCAGGAAACCATCATAAGGATATCAATGAATAGAAAGTTCATAATGACAAAAATTGTATAATCATCTCTGTCGTAAATGTGGTTCTGACATGGTCATGGCTAAATTCTGTGTATGTCTTTGGTGGTCTTTACTTTTAATATAATGGTATAGGGTGATGGTCATAAAATAGTTTAGGAGCATCGTGTTAATAACAGAACATGAATGGAACTTATCGGTAAAAGTATTTCTTTTCATTTTACGATAGAAGTCTCTGTATGCATACTTTCATCATACGAATATAAAGAATATAGCAATACGTTGGCACAAAGGTGAAGCATAGTAAGTCCTGTTCAGTTGTGTTTGTTGTTGAATAACATGTCATAGAAACGTAATAAATATATAGTCATTCAAAAACCTAATTAAAATTTTTTAAGTTTCATAGTTTTTTTTTCTTATAATCTTCTCAGGAAGATGTGTTCCTTCATAAATAAGATGTAAGTACCTAATTATTTTTTGTCAAATCAAATCGAATGGTCTTCTTCAAATCAGTTTTGTCTATTATAATTGCCACTATGCATCATGCAAATGATGATAGCAGTTGTATAATAACCGATGATATTCTTGATAGTGAAATAACGAGTGAAGAAGTTCTCAATATTTTAAAATTGTCAAAAGCGGGAAAATCTCCTGGTTGTGATGAAATTCCGATGGAGATGTATAAAAATCCGACAACTATAAACGCCCACACTCAAGTGTTCAATATTTGTTATAATACCGGAATGATACCGGAGCAATGGAGTAGAGGGATAATCACCCCGATACCAAAGAGTTCGACTTCCGACCTCGAGACCCGATGTCTTACAGAGGAAAAACATTGGCGCCAACTTTATATAAACTGTATTGCGGAGTACTGAATTCAAGATTAACTGTAAAGCTTGATGAACTAAATTTTATACATGATGAACAAAATGGCTTTAGGTCTAATCATAGTACTATTGATCATTTGTCAACAATTACTAATATATTTGAAACAAGAAAAATGTGTAAACTATCAACTTTTGCAGCTTTTATTGATTTCAAAAATGCGTATGATACTGTAAACAGATTTTTATTATTTTGTAAACTTGAGTCAATAGGAATTAGTAGTAAAATGTTGAATGCTTTAGAATCTTTATACCATAAAGTACAGTCATGTGTTAAAGTTAATGGGAATTTAACCCAATGGTTTGATGTTAAATGTGGTCTAAAACAAGGGTGTGTGTTATCGCCCATTTTATTCAATATTTTTATTAATAATTTAGTAAATGAAGTTAAAAGTTTAAATGTTGGTATTCCGCTAGAGGAAGAGAAAGTATGTATTTTGCTCTATGCTGATGATATTGTTTTACTTGCTGATAATGAATCAGACTTACAAATGCTCTTAGATGTTTTACATATGTGGTGTCATAAAAATGATATTAGTGTTAATTTAAGTAAATCTAAGATTATTCATTTTAGAACACCTTCATCTCCAAGGTATATTTATAAATTTATACTTGGTAATAATGTTAATTTTGAAATTGTTACACAATATAAGTACATTGGTTTACATTTTACAGAATTTTTAAATTATGATTTATTGGCAAAAGCCATTGCCAAGTCTGCAAGTAGAGCTCTTGGGTTATTGATCGCAAAATGTTAATCAAATGGTGGTTTTTGTTACTCTACTTATACAAAGCTTTTTGACACACTTGTATGGTCAGTCATCGATTATGGTGCTTCAAAATGGGGAACAAGAGAATTCTCTTGCATAAATGCAGTTAAAAACAGAGCGATGAGATTTTTTATGGGTGTAGGAAAATATACACCAAACTGATCTCTGTATGGTGATATGGGCTGGATTCCATGCAATGTAAAGCAATGGACAGCTGTTTTTAGATTATGTTCCAGATTTTGTAAAATGGACAATAATAGATTGAACAAACGAGTATTTATGTGGTCATATAAGTATGGAAATAAACCAATTAAAAATTGGTGCTTCAGAGTAATGACGAAGTTTAAAGAGTATAATCTTGAACCGTATTGTAATTGTGATATATTGTTAACTAAAAATGTAATTAAGGATAGAGAATGCTTAGCTGTTGATTTATATAAAACGGAATGTCATAATAAGTTGGTTTCGAATGAATATGCCAAACTACGTACTTATAAGGTAGAAAATTATATTTGTAAAACTATTGCAGGGAAATATAGAAGTGTTTTTGCAAAATCTCGCTGTGGTGTTGCGCCCCTAAAAATTGAAACGGGCCGGTATCAGAACTTCCCTATTAATGATAAAATATGTTTTAATTGTACCAATAATACAATTGAAAATGAGAAGCATGTAATTTTGAAATGTGCACTATATGCAGATTTTCGTGCTGTATTGTTTAGTCATGCTAATTCTTTTTGTCATGATTTTAATAGTATGTCAGATGACGATAAATTTGTATTTTTATTTAATAATGAAAATGTTTACTTTTATACTGCCAAAATCTGCTATGATATTTTATTGAAAAGAAAATGTTTATTATATTCTTAAAATGTATACTTTTATTATGTTTTATGTTTTATATTTTATGTGTGTATATATATATATATATATAATTATGTAAATTTATATATCATTTTTATAGTCTCTCATAACTCTTTTTAGAGTGGCTCTTGTTATATATGTGAAGTTGTAATATTATGTAAATGTTTTATAAGAGGTGAAACTCAAATAAAATATTGTCTTGTCTTGTCTTGTCTTGCACTGTGTTACAACCCCAAATAAAGCCGACGAGGAAACCAATTACCGGACTAAAAAAAGCTTCTTTGTATATGGCCTAGTGGTCTTGAGATAGCTCAGGCGGTGTTGCAGCGATGTCAAAGTTCGAGGGAAAAACAAAAGGTTGTGTCTAACATTGTTGCGCTAAATTTCAGACAAATATATACATATTGGTGTGAAAGATACCTACCTTTCTGCTCGATGTGTTCCCCATTATTTTACCTACTAATATAAAAAGAAATATGATAATTCATACATGCAAGGTTTCAAAATAGATGAGTTCTTTGCCTTATTGTAAAGAAAGATGAACGACTGGAATAGACCCAAGCGAGACAGTGTTAATAAAACTGAAATTTCATGACAAAACTGAATAATTCTAAACAAAACAAAAACCCTTAAATACAACTTAGACTATCACGATATAATTAATTAAACCCCAGTAAGCTTTTGTAAGGGAGAAGACACAATATAATTAATATGTTTTTCTTGACTCGCGACTTGACCATTCATTTGTCTGCAGAAAATTGCAAAATTTCATTTGTGAATATGTAAAACTTTCGGTTTATGTAATTACATGTATAGCTTTTCCGAGCTTATTTAAAAGTGTTATTTTGGTTACACAGGTATGTTGATTCATACGTGAAAATGTTTGTATATAAAATGTCATTAAATATGGATCTTTATTTTTAACAGTAGCTCGCCCCTTTTCTCTTACGACCTCTTACGTTAATAATGATATTTCTGACCGCTTTGTGTAAAAGTGACCTTAAATGCATCCTGACATCACATTATACGAATTCATTTAAAGTAGACATAAAACAATTGGTGTTTAAACTTACCTTTCTGTCGATATACTGCTAAAAATAAAACATCTTCCGCATTCTAAAACTTTGAACTTAACAAATAGCTAAAAATACTATCCATACATTTAAAGTTTCTTTTTTTGTAACAAAAATAGTGAGGTTCCCTTGACGCAGTATTAAACGTGATTATTATTATATCCTTTAATGGCAGTGTACAACTGAAGCTGTATAACTAGAAAGGATTAAAGGGGAAGCAGGTCCTTGATATACGAAACTAAAATCAATTTTCTGATGATCCCCGCGATTGATTTTTTTTTTTTTTACTCAAGGCAAAATCGGGACCATACTTGAATGCAAAATGTCAGTAATTAAGGAATTTCATTTTTACATTACTGCTTTTTTTCACTTTACATCAACAAAGATGTTTCTTATGATATTAATATAATCCACAAAACTGTTATTAAAAATACAATATCAACTATTAATCAGTTAATATTTAAAGAAAAAAGAAAACGATTGGTGTATGTATATATATAGATGCATATATTAGCTTACTTATAGTTTAATTCGATAAATTTCTTCCGCGTTCTCAAAATATATTAATAAGTTAACGATCGATGACTATCTGTACAATTAATTTCCGACCTTTTTATCTTGTTGACACATAACGTAGAGTTCGCCTGGACAATAATGATAAACTGTTTATACCTCTTTATTTGTAATGTATACAAACGATACTGTTACAAGTAACAGACCATAGATGTGTAATCAAAATACATTATTTACTAGTATATATATTTAAGAAACTTGCAGGAAAAAAATTTAAAAAAATGGATTTGTTTAATAGAATTCGGAAGCCCTTTTGTTGTGGTTCATGATTTATCTATCTCAAATTATTTGATTGTTTTCCATTTTTCAAATTGCACAGTATTTAAGATGGATATCACTGTAAGTCTCAAAGAAATTGACGTATAATTAAACTAATCCTGACCTATCAAAAAAGTATCAACAAAAATACCGAACTCCAAGGTAACAAAAAAGGTGAAAGTCCATAAAAACTGACAAACTCAACCGTTAGACTATATCAACAAGCAGAACAAATGAAAAACAACTGTCATATTCATGACTTGGCACAGACATTTTCAGAAAAAAAATGGTGTGTTAAACCTGGTTTTATAGCTAGCTAAACCTCCTACTTGTATACATGACAGTGTTTATAGTTCCGTTATACTGACAGAATTTGGTGAGCAACCCAAACATAAATAAGTGCTTAAAGTGACAGTAATTGGGATCCATCAGCCCAATTTGTGTAGACATACACTGCAGACATGCAACACAACTGAATACAAAATTCAAACAAACATACAAATAAATCTGACAAAGATGCCAACAAAAAAGTTTTTGTAGTTGATAGTACATAAAACCTTATGCCTTACTAGTTTTCCCGATAAAGTCCAAAGTAAATAAAATAGAAATACAAGGGTAAACAAAATGAAAACAACACGGTAAAAACCTCTTGGGTTCGAATTGTACTTCTGGACCCACCTGCATCAGGCATGCCCAAAACCAAAAAGCCTAAAAAAAATACAAAACAATAGCTGGATGCACAAATACCGCGACACGGCAAGAGTAGGACGACCAAAGGAGACATAATAGCACAACGACAAATAAGGAGAAAACTGTAAAGTAAATGAAAAGATACACAACTTCAGCACCCAGAATCGACAACTCTAGACCATCTTGTATTATTTAAAGAATAATATTATTATATTAAATAAAATAATATTTTTAGACACTGAATATTTATCTATTAGGTTTGGTCACCTGTATGTCATTGTGATCAAAATGTTGCCTGGACAGCGTTTTCCTTTAAGGCTGTAGGGGTTAAATAATATTTTTTTTTAAACAAGCTTCTGAGAAATGAACCTGAATAAATAAATAACTAAAGTCGTTTATTCCTGAACGGTTACCTCAAATTGTTAACATCTTTGTCCTTTTGTCTTTAATATATAGTTATCAAATTGGCAATCATACCACATCTCCGTATTTTTATATTCTGCAGTCAGTTGATGCACACCAAAACCCTTATTTGCAAGAGAAGTGCAGTGGTGAAATGTCAGTGTTGAATTGGAATACCGATAAACAAGATTTAACAAGACATTGACGATACATGTAGTTGAAGGACTGTAAAGGTCAAATATAATTGATATATAACCATAAAATTATTGACCATGGCATAAAATTTAACTTAATTCACTCGAACGAGAATGTTCTTAATTTTTAATTATTGACATCTCAAAAAACTCATTTTTAACAAAAAAAAAACAACAAAAAAATGTAAAAACTAAAGTCAAGAGTATCTTTTGACATGAAAACAACGAAAATGACTTTGATTTCAGTTTCTTAATCGAATTTTTGTTTGATGATCAATATGTAATTTAAAAAATTTAACCAAACTTTTGATTTATGAAATCTACGTTGTCGCCTCTAAAATGAAATTTACTCTATAATTTCTGCCTTAATTTACAGGTTAGGTTAAAATATAATAGATTTCCACAAGTTTGTTTCAAAAACAAAAACAAAATGTGAAACTACTATGTATGGTAGGATGCGGCACATTAATTGTATTGTTAAGTATACATATACCACTCTCTACTGCATGGCTTTTGCTAATATTTTAGTTTATCTGCAAACCAAGAGCTTGCATCAAAGACAATAACTTCCCTGATAGAGCAAATTTTTAATACAGCCAATTGGTATCTTCAATCTATATGATTATGATTTGCCTGACCATTACACAAGTGAACTTATTCAAGGTTACTGATGAAATATTGTCTGTGACTGTTCTGGCAATTGATTTTGCTCATCACTAAATTTAGATATTACTTGAACTGACTAACTACTATTATGCAGAATTCAGGTGGAATTGTACTTTCTCTTTGTAACTAATTGTTTCTGATTTTTTTTTCTTGAAAGGCAGTCTCTAACAAACAGCAATTGCAACCCGAGATGACTGTGTTTTTAGCTCACCGGGCCCGAAGGGCCCAATGTGAGCTTATGCCATCACTTGGCGTCCGTCGTCTGTCGTCGTAAACTATGTCAAGAATCTTCTCCTCTGAAACTACTGGGCCAAATACCTTCAAACTTTAGCTGAATGTTCCTTAGGGTATCTAGTTTATAAATTGTATCCGAAGTTTTAATCCATCAACAAATATGGCCGCCATGGATAAAAATAGAACATGGCTTTTATCTCAAAAACTAAAGCATTTAGAGCAAATCTGACAGGGGTATAAATGTTCAATAGGCCAAGATCTATCAGCCCGGAAATTTTCAGACGAACCGAACAACCCATTGTTGGGTTGCTGCCACTAAATTGGTAATTTTAAGGAAAATTTGCAGTTTTTGGTTTCTATCTTGAATATTATTGAAGATAAAGATAAACTGTAAACAGCAAAAATGTTCAACAAAGTAAGATCTACGAAAAAGTTGATGTGACCAAAATTGTCTATTGACCCTTAAAGAGTTATTACCCTTTAAAGACAATTTTACACAATTTGTTCATCATGTTTGCTAACATTTAAAAATCTTCTCCTCTGTAACTACTGGGCCTAATACTTCTTAACTTTAACTGAATGTTCCTTAGGGTAACTGGTTTTTTTCGTGCAAGTCTATTACTTTTTAAAAAATCTTCTTCTCTGCAACTACTGGGCCAAATACTTCCAAACTTTAACTGAATGTTCCTTAGGGTATCTAATTTCTAAATTGTACCAAAAACAATCTCGCGTTATTCCTTAATCAACTTCATTACACAATGAAATTTATCATTCATGATGACACGAGGTCCCACAATAAAGTGCACAGGTAAATTAAATAAAAACTTGATAAAAATCGTGTTTTCATGATCCTAGCTATAAAATGTAATTATTGAATGCTTCTTTTTGTAACTTCATAGGGTTGTAAAATCGTTGACCGTGCGCACATTTTTAGAATGAAGCGCTTCTGCGCTTCATACAAAATGAGCTTCGGTCAACGCTTTTACACCCCAATGAAGTTACAAAAAGAAGCATTCAATTCTTAATTGAAGATTTCTTGCTGTTGTGCAATACACTGTGCTGTTGCGCAATACTTAGTAAATCTGTTTTCAGACTATATACAAAGAATTAGCAAAATAAATTGTGACCCCCAATTTTTTTCTTTGGAAAATTGATAATTCCCCCATCCCCCTTTCCAAAAAAAATAATTTTAAAGAACTTTTCTTTTTGTAAAATGTGGTACAAATTAAGAGACATCCATACACTTAAACTCAAGTTATTGTCTGAAAACTAGAAAAATGCTTGTTTTAGACCCTTTTTGGCCCCTAATCCCTGAACAGTTTAGGCAATTACCCCCAAAATGAATCCCAACCTTCTACTTGTGGTATTGAACCTTGTGGTACAATTTCAGAGTAATCAAAATACTTATACACAAGTTATTGTCCCCCAAAAACAATCCCAACCTTCCTTTTGTGGTATTGAACCTTTTGATAATATTTCATAGAGATCCATACACTTAAACTAAAGTTATTGTCTGGAATCCAAATGTATGATTTGAATTTATATTCAATTGAAGATTTCTTGCTGTTGTGCAATACTTAGTAAATCTGTTTTCAGACTATATACAAAGAATTAGCAAAATAAATTGAGCCCAATTTTTTTCTTTGGAAAATTGACAATTTCTTAAATCTTGAGGGGAAAAAAATTGACCCCTCCCAAAAAAAATTTTTGTGGTATTGAACCTTTTGGTTAAATTTCATACAGATCCATACACTTAAACTAAAGTTATTGTTCAGAAATCAAATCATCGGACGACGCCTACGACGACGACAACGTGATACCAATATATGACCGCAAAAAAATTTTGGGGTCGTATAAAAATAGAACATAGGGGTCAAATGAAGTTTTTGGCTTTCATCTCAAAAACTAAAGCAGTAAGAGCAAAACTGACATATGTGAAAGTGTTAAACAGGTTTAGATCTACCTGTCTAGTAATCTTCAGACCAATAGGTCAACTTATTGTTGGGTAACTGTCCAGAAATAGTTAATGTTTAGGAAATTTTAGTTTTGGGTTATGTTTTATTATAGAAAGAGAGAAAGTGTAAATGACGAAATTGTTCAGCAAAGATAGATCTACAAATAATTCAAATGCCTGAAACTGAAATTACAGGTGAGTGATATCAGACTCTCATGAGCCTCTTATTTTTTGTGGCAAGCACTTTTGACCTGTTTTCCAAATTGTTTGCCTATACGAAGTCAGGCAGTCTGTATTGTATGTGATTAAGTTTAAGGGGGTTTGGGTGTATAGGATATATAAGAATCACTCTGTCTATCTTTTAGACTGATATTTATGAAACTGTACATATTTGTAGAACATTACATGAGGATGTTCATAAAGGAATTTATTATCCTACATATTACAGGGGAGATAATTGAAGCTACTTCATTCAATGTTGCTATTTGTGGTAATAGTATCTCATAAGCACAACTCCTCCTTAACCACTAGATGGTTATTGGTAACTTTACACATATGTAGAACATGTTACTACTCAGTATTGTAATATGTGGTTATAAACAATTATAAGCACAACTTTTTCTACATGAGTAGACTGATATTTACATATTACTAAGTTATAGAACATCCCCTGAGGATCTGCATAAAGGACTATTATTCTGGTCCAACAACTTATAATGGATTTATTTTTGAAATTTGCAGTGCAGGGGTATCCTTTTGTGAGTTCACTCCTAACTCTAGTTATATATAATTTTCTCACAAAAAAATTTCTTTCCATAGCAAAATTTTCAAATCAGTATACTATGACAAAGCGACTGGCCTCATTGGTATATACTAACTGTAGATGAGATACATTTTCAAATGGTCCTGACCAGGAAACACAACATTAGTTGTAAACGACAAAACTTCTTCTGACCACACTTCCATAATGCAGATAATCCAGTCTAGTGGCATTCTTTTAATTGTCCAACATCCACTGTAAATCAATACGTTCATACCCAATAAAACATTTTTTTCTGAGACAGTCCTCATTTCATTTTCTATTGTTATTTATCCATTTTTAGATGGTGACCTTCCCTTGTCACCATCTTATGGTGTTTATATTTCTCAACTTGTTCGATTTGCTCATGTCTGTAACAACGTATTTGATTTTCAAGAAAGAAATCTCTGTATTACTGAAAAATTATTACACCAGGGTTTTCAATATCACAAACTAGTCAAAACACTTATTAAATTTTATCATCGGTTCAAGGACATCATTCGTAAATATAAATCAACCTGCAGACATCTAATACGTTCAGGTATTTCACATCCTATCTTTTATGGTAATATTCTATACAAAGCACAAAAATGTCGTCATTCACCTCAATAGCTAACAAAACCTTTAAACAGACTTATGTAGAAGGGATATGGTTATGATACTGTTGTCAGGTCATTAAAGATGGCATATTTTGGTATTAATATTGATTCACTCATAGGGTCTTTGCATTGGAAATAAAAACATTTACCACATTTTACACATTTTCTAAAACCAGTTGTTAGCATGATACGGGTTATGTTCTTCTCATATATTTTATGATGGTATGATACTACAGTTTTTTGTAAACCACTAATGGGAGGGATTGTGCTTGATTTTCATATGATGAAGACATTTGTGTCTTTTGTTACCTATTCTGACATCCGACTCAGACTTCTTTTAAACTGAGTTTTACTGTGCATATTGCTGTATATTTGTTTACTCTACATTGGCTAGAGGTATAGGGGAGGGTTGAGATCTCACAAAACATGTTTAACCCCGCCGCATTTTTGCGCCTGTACCAAGTCAGGAGCCTCTGGCCTTTGTTAATCTTGTATGTTTTTTTCAATTTTAGTTCATTTATATGTTTTGGAGTTTAGTATGACGTCCATTTTCACTGAACTAGTACACATTTTTATTTAGGGGCCAGCTGAAGCCTGCCTCTGGGTGCAGGATCTTTTCTCTGTGTTGAAGACCCATTGGTGGCCTTCTGCTGTTATCTGCTCTTTGGTCAGGTTGTTGTCTCTTTGACATATTCCCTATTTCCATTCTCAATTTTATTTACTTATGTAACTTTTGATTGACATCATTTTAAGAAGGTTTTCAACCTTGGAACTTAAAGATTAACACACCTATGTTTATTCTGTGTTTATGATATAAATAATTGTTCAGTAATTATAAAATAATGTAAAATTTAATGATTATATAAAAACAATTTCTAAACTTAGAATGGTCTGTTTCTAATGTAATTTAATCCTTAAGAACAGTCAATTTTAATATTCATACTTTTTTGTTGAAAAAATACAATACCAGTAGTAGAAATTTTGTTTTTAAAGCATTTTTTCTAATCAATTCATAAATATTGGATTTCCTCCACAGATAGACATATAAAAACAGTATAATATTTGTCTTCTACTTTTGTCAACTTAAATCTTTACTGTAGATAACATTTTTATATAGATATCTTCCATTTTCCTAATTTCACATCTATCCATCAAGAGTCTGTTATGACTACTTTTGATGGCCCGACTAATAAAATATTTATTTTGAACAATCTCTTTTGTTTAAATATTTGTTTATTCATTACATGATTATCTCACTAACAGACGTATACACCTCACAGATCATACTTTAATGTTTGCTAAATACCTCATTTAAAAAATTCTAAATATCATCTTCTTGTCAATGCAAAGATATTTTGCAAGCTAATTACTGAGCAGTTACTTTTGCAATTAATACATTGTCCATGGTTCTTTGCTAATAAAATTTACTATAATCATTACAGTCATGACAGATGTATCTCACATATTAAATATATAAAATATAAAACACTTTTACAATAGATTATTAACAACTATATATCACAGTTTATCATTATCTCCCCTTAGCACCATCATGTTATAGTTCATGCAGGATTGGCTAATTCAACAGTGTCTCCAATAATAAAATCATCTCCCTCTTTAAGCATTTGTCCCAATCTGTCTGTAGTTGAGGTAATAGATAAAACAATCCAAGCCAAAATTGTTAAACATCCTCTTGCAGTATTTATATTTGTCCATAATTCTATTTTTGATGAGGTTTCCTACAAATATATAAAAAATTACTTTTGTTCTAATAATATATGAGCTGCGTTGGATAGAAATTGACCTTATGCAAGTGCATGTATACATGTACATGTATGAGACTTGGATTGATTTAAGAACATTCAAATACGAAATAAAAAGATGAATTTTGGTCTGTTTTGTAGGGTTCTTATATATCAACTCAATTTTCTAACAGATACAGACTTTGCATAAAGATTTAATCAACCCAAAATAAGTTAAAAGATGTATATTGATATTCATTTGCATAAGATTGATTTCTATCCGATGCAGCTCACATGTTTGGAAGCAACAATGCAAACTATTTTGTAGGTACCATAAATTTTTATGAACATATTTAGAAAATCCCATCTTTCCTGTATGGTATCCATAAACCCAATAGAGACATTGGTATAGTGACAAAAAATAAAACTTTTACTTTATCCAAAGAGCATTAAAGCCATAGTAGTTTCAGAAGAGAAAATGTGTGTACCTTTACATTGTGTGTGTGCCTTTATACTGTGTGGTACCCATGATGGATATCTGTCATTCCATTCTTCAATAATACAACAGCTGTACATATATTTTTCATAATGACTGAAGATATTGAGCAAGCTTTTAAGTTTATAAGTTAATAAGTATGAATTTGAGATCAATTTAGTGATTCATTTGAGGGGAAGAGCATTCATGTCACTCTGACACATCTAGTTTAACATGTCAACAGTTAACAGATGACTGACATAACCCTATGAAGACCTAACCTTAATACTCCACTATAAATGCAACTTATATATATATGACATGCAAGTAGAGTGACATACATGTATCTTTGAAATGGTGTTCATTCATTTAAAATGATATATATCTATCTTTCAAAATGTAACTTGCTAAGATCAGGACATTAACACCACTGAAGTTGACTGAAGATTAAAAAAAAATGATGGTCAAGTGGAACTAGTTTTGAATTTAAATGTACCAATTATAAATTCAAAGCTATCACCAATCCTTTATCTTATAGCTCAACGTGATAATGAAGATCAAACCATGTTTGGAACATGGGGAGAATAATAAAACCTACCCCTGGATCTAACCACAGATCTGGATATCTGTTATAGAGATTCATTCTGTCTTCAATATTTGCTATACTAAGACTCAATATCAATGCTGCAAAGTATATAACGATAGAAACTGTCCCTGTTTGTAAAGTAAAAGATCGTAGTAGAAATCGTCTTGTGGGGTTTGCAATATCAAATCTGAAATAAACAGAGCACATGATTATTTCATTCTGTAGTCAACTTTTTTTCACTTAATTTTTTTTCAGTTATACATTTGTACATATAAAAAAGTGTTCGACTCAAAGCCATCACAAGCAATTATACAGTCATGACTTCTTTTAAACTGAGTTTTACTGTGCTTATTGCTGTGTGTTTGTTTTTTCTACATTGGCTAGAGGTATAGGGGGAGGGTTGAGATCTCACAAAACATGTTTAACCCTGCCGCATTTTTGCGCCTGTCCCAAGTCAGGAGCCTCTGGCCTTTGTTAGTCTTGTATGATTTTTAATTTTAGTTCATTTATATGTTTTGGAGTTTAGTATGACGTCCATTTTCACTGAACTAGTACACATTTTTATTTAGGGGCCAGCTGAAGCCCGCCTCCGGGTGCGGGATTTTCCGCTGTGTTGAAGACCCATTGGTGACCTTTGGCTGTTTTATGCTCTTTGGTCGGGTTGTTGTCTCTTTGACAAATTCCCCATTTCCATTCTCAATTTTATGCTCCTTCACTCTTGCATTTTAGCACCATATTGATTTACTCAGCACTAGCAGTAAATATTGAGATTATATGGTAAGTTTGATAAATAATTCTTAATAAGTATAATTTTGAGTGACTATTATCAAGTTTTTATTTTTTTCTAAAAAAAGATACACACAGTCATATGTGTGTGTATATTTAATACATAATAGTATTGGAGAAAGGTATAAAATTGACAAAAACTTTTTTTTTCTATTTTTTTTTGTGTGTCTACATGAACAGCTGCCACTCTTGAAAATCTATATGTTGTGAACCCTGCTTTACATGTGCTTTGTATGTTCTGTGTTCAAATGATTTCTAACCACTGTAATACCTACTACATGTATGCCTATCCTATCCACTGATATCAATAATGTATATCTGTATAATCATAGCTGACAGTAAACTTATAATGCTTATGGCTTGACAAGAAGACACTAGGTTGCACTATTTTATTAGTAGCAAGTTAGCAACGTGTGAACATCGTGATAAGTGGGTGTTTAGATTTATTTCAAAGTTACACTTTTCTAACTAGTTGTTTGTTTAACACTTTTTGTAACGTACATGTAGTTACATTGTTTTTGATTAATCGTAAGTTGAAAATCATTCATGGTACAAACATCAATTTATTACATCATTAATTTGGAACTGTTCAATTGTTATTCTTGATTGAAATATTTTGTAATCATACAGACTTTGCTTTAGCTAAAAGCTGCTGCTTGCACCTACATATATCAAAGTATGTGAACCACAAAGAAATCTTTAGTTTTATATTTTACAGACTGATGCTGTAACATTACATATTGTTCTCCCTTTAAGGAGGTAGGTTCTTGTTTCTTTTTAATTAAGAACTGTAAAGTTTAAATGATGTACCTATCACCTTAAACTTACCTATCACAGGCAGAAATGGTACAGAGCACTAACAATATGTAGAACATACACTGTACAGGAAGTGCTAGAGGACGGTAATGTGACAGGAAGTCAAGGTCACTATGATATAAAAGTACATAAACAGTAGTTATATGCCACATGGCAATTCCTGCAGTTAGTCCATGAATAAATAAACAGAAAGTTTTAAAAACATTATGTGTGCTAAGTGCAAATTCAATGGTAGAGCTAACAGGTCCTTCTGGTTGATCTTCCTGTTTAAATTTTTCTTCTTCAGCCCATTTCCTTGCTAGTTTTGTTTTGTTTTCTCTTTTAAATCCAGCTGAAATGAAATAAATTCTTCAGTCATTTGTCAGTATGTAAAAATCAATTATAATGTTAAGCAAATTATTTTCATGGAGTTTATACATTTCTGTAAAATGTTTGAAATTTCAATTTGAACAAAGGGATCAAGAATGGTTGAGGGTCTGGATGAGGGGTCCTTCATTTCTGTATTCTTTAATTTTTTAGGCCATTAATCGTTATTCTATATACCTTTTGCCCATTATATGGTTGAGAACTTTTAAACTAACATAAACACGCATTTTAATGTTCCTGTGACTATTCTAAGTCAAACTTGTTTTTTTAATAATCTTTTTTCACCATTTATCATTGCTAATGGCATACTTTATGTAGTCTCTGTTAAATTTAGGTTATGATTGTGACTTTGTCTGTAGTAGAATTAGACTGGTTTAGCAATTTTAATTTGCAATCCTTTGACATACATGTACATTGGTATGCTAATGTTAGTTGTGTATTGTTGGGTAAATGTCTCATTGTTGTTCTCCGCAAGGTATCTTTTATTCTGATTTACAATAATCTTAATGTGTGACTTATAAGTATTATTATAACAGATTTAAATGAAGTATGGGTAAAAAAATATCATCTTCCTTAAACCTTGTACTTACAATTAGTTTCTATAAATAGATTATCTAATGGCTGACTTTTGAGTACAATAGATTCTGTAGAGTAGGGGTGAGGTATAACATCCTCATCTTTCTTGTCGTCTGGTGTTACAATATCTTCTTGTATGGTAGACAAGTCTGCAGCAAATGCTGCATCCATAAACTCATCTCCAACTCTAGGTGATGCTTTCTTCACTTTTTTCTTAACTTTTTTCTTTGGTGTGGTCTTTTTATCATCTTTAGATATTAAGCTTGTTTTACTACCACCAACTTCCTGAAAAAAAATGAAATACAAGAAATTAAAATTTCTGTTTTGAAAAGTTTCTTTACCTGAGAATTAAATTGAAATTAAATTTTCATTACAGTACGATAACCTTTTTGCTTAAGATCTAGAAGAAAGCCTCCATCTGGAAAGCTACACTTTACTTGTCTTTAAACTTAACCTGAAGTCTAACATTCCAGGCAGTTAAATCGGCAATGGGCTTGTAAAAAATTTCATTTGGCTAATAGGTATTTGGATATTTTTTACCTGCTTAACATCTGAACCAAGTTTTTTAATCAAACAATTTTTATGTGTACTCAGAAAATTGCAGACAAACTGCTAGGTGAAGAGTTTTGACATGATCGCTTGGAATCTTATTTCACATGTTAAAATATGTATCACATAGTTATTCTGTTTTTACAAATCCATTGATGAATTTTTGCTTAAATTGTTCCTGAACTAATGGCAACACCCTCTGACACCCATGTTGAGTAAATTGATTGTAGTGAGCAGAAGGTAATTACTGGATTGTTCTGATTTCCTTTATTGGTTGTATTGTGTAATAAATAAAAATGTCAAACCACTAGAAAAGGCTTAGGCTTAAAACAGTATCCCACTTCAAATTTCAAACAACAAACGTGTAGATGAGAAATTAACTAAACATGTCCATGAAATGTGATTTGCGCGATTATACATGTAGTTATATGTATAAGGGGTTCTCTGACATTTTCAAAACCTGAGAACATTTTATAAGAACTATTCACATGATTGATGACATGGGAATAGAAAATTATTAGTTTTAGAGGTTTAAGGCATAACAATCTGTAGTACATTTACTTTTGGTAACCATGCTGACTAAACATTTATTGCAGCATTTTAAAAAATGAAATGGTATGGAGAGATAGAAAAAAACATGTCAGCAAGTATAAAAAAAAATTTGCAAATAGTAACTTTTCAATTTAAAACAGCACATACATATATACATGAATGTTAGACTCAGATTGACATCGGTTCATCACATCGTAGTCCAATGTAAAGTCACGTTCTCAAATCAGTGTCCAATATCTTTACCCCCTAATCGATGTCCAATATGACGCCATGTATTACCAAAACAACATGCAATCGATCAGAGTCTCCTCTCATTGATCAACAAAGTAGACAACATCCCGTCCCAAATAATCAACTAAATAACAATAAAAGGACAAACATCAGTAAATGACAACAAGACAAACACCAACATCATATTACATGTACATGCATATTAATGTTTTGGTGAAAGAAGTTCATCCACTCGATCTGCATGGTCTTATTCCTTTCATATTCATATAAATAAATGACATGTGGATATATTCATTTTTGTAGGACAATGAGACAACAAGTGAACAACCCAACGATAAAGATAATAGAAAGACATCTACATGTAGGGAGCAATATGCATTGTACAGTCTTAAACAACAGACAGAATAAAGAAGTACAGTCAATCGTTGAAAAATATCGTTATTTGGACTCTGCAAGATTTAAAATCTTATATTTTTAACAACTTTTTTAGTTTAAGGTTCAACCAACTATTTGTTTTCAGAATTTACTGTTTCAAATCAGAAATATGACAGTTGCTTTCATCAAATAAAATTGAGACGTCATTGTGGCAAGACTGTAAAAAGGATGTCCATTAGAGAAGCAAAATATTGGACATCAATTTGAGAACAACAAAAAATAATTCCATTAGGCGGGCATAGAATTGGCCGTCGATTTGGAATCTTATTTCATTATGATGTCAGATTTGGACGTTGATTTGAGGAAACAGACGATGATTAGAGACCAGATGTCGATCTGAGTCTTTCATATTTATGCATGCAATTCCCCTTTTGATACAACCTTTCATAACCTTTTAGAATTTATAATAAATGCATCTTGATTATACCCAAAAAGTAACAATCCTTCAAATAAGTAATATTTTGAAAGTGTTAAAAATAAAATATTTTTAGCCGAGTCATTTTACTTGAAATGATAGTTACTGAATCCCTTTAGGGAATCTGCATCCAGAACTTTTTTTTCTGATTTGGCTACGGCTACCAATCAAACCTGTTTAACTCTATTCTGGATTTTTTTTTTATCTCACTACCACATCTCAAATTGAACATTTACATGGATTCCATCATTCTGTACACCTGACACAGGTAATACTTTAAAGAACATTTGTGAAAACCTATTTTTCTTTCAGAATCCCAGTCTTCCCCCTTAACCACAGGCCCACCAGCCCAGGCTTGTAAAACTTCTGTCGGGGCTGTAAAAATCATCTCCACAGGCCAATATAATATAACTAAAATGTTCTTAAAATTCAGCTTCGGGCCTTTCAATTCAAAAGTCTATTGTCATGATTGTGAAGACTGGAATACATTAAAAATTTTTTAAAATTTCCAACTTGTAATGCTAGGTATACAAATGTTGATCCATTTTTATGTGGTTGTTGGTGAAAATTTCCACAAACAGAGTTGACATGGTTAAAGGGCTTGATACATGTAACTGTGAAGATACTTATTTCATTTCCTTAAATTTATTCTTGCTCAGTACGATTTAAATGTGTGAGTATGCACACCAGTGTAAGGATAAAATAAACTGTTATCACAGAGATATGTCTCGCCTTTTTGTAATTTTGATAATGCAAATGTTGAAATTAAAATAGCAATACTTTAACATGTAAGTTATGCAAATATTCAAAGTCGATAAACCATGAATGAAGGTACATTGCTAAAAAATCTCCATGGAAATGAGATGTGCCAATGCTAATACAACTGCATACCAAATACCATTGACTTATAATAAGTCGTACCCTTTAAACAAACAGAAACACAAACAATAACTTGTAAACTATGTAAAAGTTTCAAAGTCAATGAACCATGATCAGGGTAGGGGGCTATATAATCTCCATGGAAACGATACTTGCAAATGCCAATAAATTTGCATACCAAATATCATTGACTTAACATTAGCAGTTAATCTTAAACTGATCTAATAACAAACTAATACATGTAAACTAAGCAAAAGTTTCAAGGTAAATAGATCATGACTGAGGGGGTGGGGCCAAATATTCTCCATGGAAATGAGATGTGCTAATGCTTATACAACTGAACACCAATTAACATTGGCCTACCACTAATGGTTCCCCTTGAACTGACCTAATCACAAACTATATATATAGCTAATACATGTTAACTTAGCAAAATTTTCAAAGTTTACAGACCATGCATGACAAAGGGGGCGGAGCCAAATAATCTCCATGGAAATGAGATATGCCAATGCTTATACAACTGCATACCAAATATCATTGACCTACCACTAGTGGTTCCCCATAAATTGACCTAATCACAAACTAATACATGTAAACTATGAAAAGTTTCAAAGTCAATAGACCTTGACTGAGGGGGTGGGGCCAAATAATCTCCATGGTAATGAGATGTGCCAATGCTAATACAACTGCATACCAAATATCATTGACCTACCACTAGTGGTTCAAAATGAACTAGACCTAATCACAAACTAATACATTGTTGACGCCGTCGCCGGAAACAGCATACAATGTACCTTTGTCTCGCTTTTTGACTCTGTCAAGGCAAGACAAAAACCCAACAATTTCTGCACTGGTCTGAGTAGATGACAGTTCAAGACAAGAGTGCACACGCTGAAATATCTCGCCTGTTTAACTGACCATTGATTTTATGTTGAAAGTCTTAAAGAAAAAGGTTCTACTACAAGTATCACATAAACTTTATCTTAACACTTTAAAGATCCATGACAATGAGGTCAAGGTCAGATAAATCCTGCCTGACAGACATGTCCACCTTACAATCATTCCATACACTAAATATAGTTGACCTATATTACTTATGGTTATATATTGAAAAAACAGACCAAAACACAAAAACTTAACATTCACCAATGAATCATGAAAATGAGGTCAAGGTCAGATGAAACCTGCCAGACTGACATGTACCCCTTACAATCATTCCATACACCACATATAGTTGACCTATATAGCTACTGGTTATTTCTGTTGTGTTATTTTTAATGTGTTACTTTTTTGTATGTTGTTCTGCTGACTGATACCTAAAATCTCACCATATCAAAAGTCTTAAATATGTTATACATGTATATAGAGGACAAAGTTCTCATAACAGTAGACACAACTTTTGGTCTTGTGATAGTGTGTTCACCTCAAGTTACAGAGGTCATGGGTCCCAAACCCAGCTGGGTCAAACCAGACTCGAGGAATTGGGATTTGCTGCTTCTCCGCTAAGTATGCAGCATTAAGGATTAAAAGCAAAGACTGGTTGGCTCAGAGTTAGAATTATGTGCTGGGCAAGGTGACATGTCTTCCTGCGAACTATCAAACTTTGTGATATAGCACATTTAAAAATATGGCTTAACGTATCAGTCAAGTACAAAGAAGGGTTTATATTCATATCACATTATTTTGTTTTAGTCCTGGACAATGCTGGATATGCATTTAAATTTGCCTCTGGACATTAAACAGCTACCCTCATAACAGTAGTTGTAAAATCAATATACTACATTGTAGCTGAACCCAAAATCATTAATTTTTTTCACAACAGTTCTTAGTACTAGGGCATTCAAACAGTTGACAGTTGATACCATGTTGTAACGCATACTATTTCCCCCAAATTTGTATGTATCTGATTACCAAAAAGTATTACAAAGTTTTAACGACTTTGTTCTATTTAAGGTTCATCTATACACTTTAACAAAAATGGCTGTGTTTACACCATGAAATTTTCTCTGAGAACAGACAAAACTGTGTAATTTTAAAAGTTTTAATGCCTGGCAGCACCTAGATGAATTAATGTTATATCCAATTTATGTTCCAAAAACATACCTGTCAACCTATGACAATGAAAATGCAGGTGATGACCTGCATAGAAGAATGAAATCTCAGGACATAACGCGTACCAACTTTTTCGAGCTGAATTTCAGTATTTAGGGGACATTTTTCTTATAATTTATATCAAAGTTTCCAAATCATGTCCAAATGGTTAAGTAATTTAAAATTGTACATATTATAATTTCATTGCACCAGGAGGCCATTGATAGTTTTGTGTTATATTGCCTAAATTCCTGTTCATATTCATTCGTGCCAATTTGTGTTTTCTTTACATACATTTGTGCAGCTTTTTAACAGTAGAAGACATATTTGTTGATATAAGAGAAAATAATAAAATATAGTTAAACAATTAGAGGAGGTATAGATGAAAAAAGTAATTTTCAAAATTTTTATTTTTTAATTGTTCTACCTTAGAACAATAAGTAAAAGTATTATTCTGATATGTTTGTGAATTCAATTCATTTTAGATTTAATCTTTCTACAAAAAAAAACATAATTGGTATTTATTAACAGTGTGTTTGACACCAAAGCTGTCAAGTGAAGCCATGCACTGAAATGGGTCAGTTGAGCTGAGTTTACACAGCTACATTTTTGTAGTTGAACTTCTTGTCCAGGAAGAATTACGAATTTGCCGGTATTTCATTGAAATCACTTTATATCTAATCAGTCTGAAGGCTAAGGAATCCGCGTGAAAACGGGTTATTTTCCAAATTCCCGGGTTATTTGGTCACCCGGCAGGTGTTCCAGAATGTTCAGAATTTTGAAAATCTCTGGTCACACCCGCAGGATCCGGGTCAGTTGACGGTATGCAAAAAGTTAAAACACTTTATGGATTTTGATGAACATTTTCTTTGCTTGCCACAGAAGATGGTGAAATAAACAAACACCGAGTTTTCTTTGATACAGTCCACTCATTTACACTATTTAAATCACCTTTGTTGTGAGTAGATTTCTATTGTCCCTCTATTGTCCATATCCATCAATATGATACAATACAATCATTACCTGAGGGGGGCCATCTCAAAGATTTCACATGACTTTGTTTATTTTTACACCACCTGTGGCAAGGAAAGAAAATGTTTAGCAAAATCCACAAAAGTTTTTTTCTTTTTAAAACACAAAATGAATACAACTTGTATATATCTAGGTGCTGCCAGGATTTAAAACTATTAGAATTACACAGTTTGGCTGCATTCAGAGAAAATTTCATGGTGTAAATGTAAAGCAAAATTCTATCCGGATGAAATATCATCTGGGGGAAAAAATGTTACAGAAGTAAAAATATTTCTCAATAGTTACTCATCTGGTAAACCTGTTCCCCAATTGGTGGGTTAGTTAACGTTGTACATGTATACATCATTTCAAAATTTCTATATCTCGTATACATGTATTTCGTTTTGAAATATAAGCAGATGTGCATGACGCATAACTAACCTCTTGACTAACGTTGTACATATATACTAGTTTACTACCCGTTCAAGTCCAAACACATCATTTCAAAATTTCTATATCTCGTATACATGTATTTCGTTTTAAAATATAAGCAGATGTGCATGACGCATAACTAACCTCTTGACTAGCACCACTTCTTGCTGATGTAGGTTGTCCATCTTCAATCTGTTCTGGTGGTTTGCGTTTCTTTCTTTTCCTTGGCGTTGGTTTTTCTCCATCTTCTGTTGCGACAGGTGCTTTCTTCTTTTTAGGAGTAGTGACCGTTGATCCGGTCTCGCCATTTTCAGTTGCTTCGGTTGGTTTCTTTTTCTTCTTTCTTACTGGTCTTTTCTGAGCATCAGTGTCTTCTGATTCCTGTGTAACTGGTGGCAATTTCTTTTTCTTGGGAGGATTTACATTGTCAGCCATTTTTGTATCCAATAAACAATACAACTTCCGGTAACTTTCGGATAACTCTCTTCGTTTCGGAATCCACCAGCAGTCTTCCTAAAAAGCATTTTAGTTGCAGGAAAATGTCAAAAAAGCATTCAGTTTTATTTATTTGCCTTGGTAATCTAACTCTTTATCATTTATTCAATTTGTAAGAACGTAATTAATTACATTCCATCATTTGAAAGGGGTGGAAAGCTCTGAGGATTATATGATACATCCAATCACCATAAATTGCCAGCCTTACAGGAAACTGCCAGGACCCTCAGTCAGTGATCATAAATTTTGGTTATATTAAGTTTTCACATCCAAAATAATAGCTAAAACTTGTTTTTTGCTTCCCTGTTATTAAGAAATGAAAATGGAAGCAGTGATTAAAAAATGTCTGCTATTGGTCTAAATATAGAGATTGTTTAAGGAAACTCTCTGTAGTGTAGAGAGCAAAGTTTTAAATGTACAATAAAAAAAATATGCAATTGGACATTTCTGGAATCATTGTGTTCTTTCATACTATTCCAAAATTTTGTTTCGAATCATTGAGTACCCTTAAAATATTTTTTTTTTCAAAAAAGAAAGCTGCAGCCCCATAAGCACCATAAGAATTTTGCAGATTTATTCACACTTTTTACAACAGATTTTTATACTGAAAATGCATGCAAATGTTGTCACTTATGGAAAATATTTACTTCCTTCAAAACTTTTATCCAGGTTGCTCATGTTGAGCAAAATCAATCACTAATTATCCCGTTAAATAAAGTATCATGTAAGCTGTCTAATGAAAAATAAATGGCACAGTACAAAAATAATGATTATTCATTATGATATCAAATGATGCTTGGGATTATAAAATGTTTACCATGTTTACATTAAATGACAAGAAAAGAAAATATTTGAAATTAAGGATGTACACCTCTGAGATGCCAAAAATTTCTAGAATTAAACTTGTTTTCTTAACCTGATTTTTGGGTTTATATGACTGTAAAAAATAATTGGTGCATAAAAAATCATATGATGGTGCACTTCTTTTTTTTTCTGTGGCCATTTGAAAGTACCCAATTCTTATGATTTTCCCATTTTTCATCAGTTTTTACCCATTTTTGGGCTATTATTATGAAAAAAATCACAGTTTCACAATTAACCTTTTTTTCATACTTTCAATAAAGATGAAGTGGACCAATCTGAATAAATTTAACTTAAAAACTATTATAGGTAGGTGTTAATATAAGAATGTTTTATAGAATTTTGTTGCTTTTTTGTGTCAAATGTACCATGGGGGGTAGGACCTTTATCGGGACTCCGGGATCGGGTGTTTTTAAGCTCAGGATTTTGGGATTGATCCTTTCGGGATCCGGGAATTCTTTTTTCGAATGTCGGGATTTAAATTTTTTTAAATTTGGGACCTCGGGATTCCATGTTTTTAAGCCCGTGATTTTGGGATCAGGACCCCTCCTACCCCCCCTCTACCATGCTGTCAATTTTGTAAATTTGGGATTTTTCTCTTTTTTTTGGACAAAAAGCATATCATTTCAACTTCCTTGTTATAAATAATTGAAAAAAATACATATCTAAGAAATTTGAAAAGAAAAAAATGATATGGGATGTACATGTTTCTGGTAAAATAATTTCTTGTACCCCTCAACCATTTTCTCAACATTTTGGCTAATGAGACTGACTTTATTGGTAATAAAATTTGAGAATTTTATTACTCAAAAACTTCTTATTGCAAATACACAATTTTTTCACAGAGTTAAGTTTGATTATAATATTTTTTAAATTCATTGATATTTTCCACTTGTATCACATGTTTTGGAAATAATTCCAGAACGAGATTTCAACGAGACTAAAATGTCAGAAGAATACACCCTTATATTAAATCACTTCTGTTTTAAAGAATAATTTTCATTTATTGTGATGTGATTTGAAAAAAATAGTCTATCATTTTCATGAATTACTCTGTACAATATCTTAAAAAAAATTTTTTTTTGGTTTATTATAATTTATTTTATATTAAGCAATTTATGATTGTATTTTAGATAGTATCAAGCTCAAACTGTTGTGGAACCATACAAAATTGCTGTACAAATATGCTGTCATACATAATATAAATAAGATTTTAAAACTATAAATCAGTTGTTTAAACATGTTAAAAACATAACTTTTGTTGAATATTAACTCCATTTAACAGTCAATGGAAGTATTTAAGAATCATTTCTGAATACCCAGATATAGGACATATTAATTGGCAATAATAAAATAGATACACTGTTTGAAATTAAGGTAGATATAACTCCTATTTGCAATAATTTTGCATAAAATTTTATGAAAACTAGTGATTTCAAAATCCCTGACTGTTTCCAACAAAAGTAATATTTAATATTGATTTTTTTTTTTCTTATTCTACATTCTTTAAATAACATAACATGGAACTGTTTGTCTTGGTCTGTGTCATGAAACTTTTTCTGTGCTGAAGATAAACATGATAATATACAATTGTTGACTTTTGATGAGGTTAATACATTATGATTTATCAACCCCAGAGATATGATATTCACCGAGCCCAACAGTGTCATATTTCTGGTGTTGATAAATCATTGAATCAAATGAAATCAAAAGTCAACAATTTTTTTTAATATATGACATTTTATCCTTCACCAATTTCTAGTATTTGCTCCAGATGCTTTTAAAACTGCTTGTTTTTATACTAAATATATCATCTGCTTTTGCAGTTGCTAACTTTCATAAGTTAAAATATTTAATAAAGTTTACCTAAAAAAATACAATGAAAACAGAAGAAGATAAAAAAAATACCACAAAAAAAAAGGGAAAAAAACCCGGTAATTTGCATGACGTCATAAACCTATGTCATTGACTTTGCCTTGGAATATCTATATTTAGGTACACGTTAGCTGTTCCAAATCTTATATTAACTTCTAGTGATTTTTCCCGTGGTGAATATAATGTTTTATCAAAGAAAACTCTGTATGCTTTTATGAGAAAAGAGAAATTTTTTAGTCATATAATAAAATCAGATAACGAATTAAGTTATTGTTGTTCACCTTTTTTTTCAGATTGATGTAAATTTGATAGATGTTAAATAGGATGTATCTGCTGAATTTGACATAAAAACAGTTCTTCTAAACATATTTACTGATTTCATGAACTCATTTATTTAAATAAAAACTAGGTATTGCTAACAATATAAAGAATGGTACTTGTTTATGCTTTTCAAATGCAATCTGGTAACTGAAAGCAAGAAGAAATCTATGTAGGGCTGCAAATCTTTTTTCATTTACTTTTTCTTATGGAAAAATTACAAAGTCTTCATTAATAGATATATTTAAAATAGAATAAATTGGGTTGAATGAAACTCTCTAACATTTATGCTGGTAAGTGGTTTTACTGTCTACTGTATAGAAATATTCAGTTTTAGTTATGAGGATAAAACATGAGGTCAAATTGGCTCTTATATCACGTGTATATAAAAGGTTACCATTTTAAACTTAACCAGCTAGCAAAATCAAATGTGGTGACCATGTACATGATGAATGCTTATATTTATGACATTTTCTTATTTTTGTTTTTCAATAACAAAGCCTGGTCAATTTTGTTCATCTCAGTCAAAGGGGTACACAATTTTATTCTGTTTTGATGGAGACTACATGTAAAATGCCCTTTTTATGTGGCTTGTTTAACGCCTACATTTTAAAAGGCTAAAAGTTAGAAAATATGTAGGAACTTCAGTAAAAAGGATATTGATAGATTTGTAATCCTGTATTTGATTTGTACATCAATGAAACTGCAATTCAATGACAAAAAAATAGAAAATAAAAAAAAAACAGACTCCCTGAATAAAGGTTTGAATGTACTGTAACAGACTATGAATATACCGGTAAGAAGATTTGTGAAAACGTCAATGAAACAGAAACCCAAAGAAAAAATTTAAGCAAATTTGATATAGAGACTGTAGGTAAGCTGACTATACTGTGTGTGTGTGTGTGTGTGTGTGTGTGTGTGTGTGTGTGTGTTATGGTCTTGATTGGTTGCTGTTTCATTGATGTAAACCTCACATCTCTTTTTAAACATATTCTTTTTATTTTAACATAATTTTATCATTCCAGTGTAGACAATATTAACTCATGAAAATGTATATGAATAAAAGAAGATGTGGGTAATACATTAATAAGACAGCAACCAAACATCTAATATAGGTAAACAAAATAAATTTAAAGGGCATCCAGGGGCAAAATCATACAGTTTTCAACATGTGACAGGTTCCCTATTGTATGTCTAGCTTAAATTATCCCGAGGTCTATAAATGTTATGAATAAATTAAACAGAAACAATTTGGGATTAATGTTCAAAAGTATGACAAATGAGTATGGTAAATGTCTGTTATTATGTTTAAATATTTTATCTTTTTCAGGAAATATCTGTAGATCACCAATAGCAGAAGCTGTTTTTCTGAGGTTACTTAAAGAAAAAAAGCAGGAACAGAATGTAATATATTATTGAGAGGAGTGATAAAGGGTTTTTTGTTCACTTTCTTTGCAATTTTATATTCCACTTGATTTTGGAACATTATTTTCTGTATTTCATGGAAATAGGGAGAAATGCTGTGAATTTAAGCTAAAATTTATTTCAATTTTTAATCTTAGTTTTTATTACATTTCCTTATGTTTATACTCTGCCACCCTTATATATGTAAATAATATGACCCCATCATTATTATGGTATATAATTATAAAAAGCTCAGTATATTGCAGTGAATTGTGGTTACAAATGTAATTAAAGGATTCATTATAAGAACTGCATGAATATTCCAAAAAATGTCATCAGTGTAATAACAACAGATGGCTACCAAAAATGAAAATTTAAGATTTCATTATTAGTTTGTGAACAGACACTATCACTGAATATAAAGAGAGGATCAGAAAACTGTGTTCTAATCAACCATTTCTAGGCAAGCTTGTAAATACATTTTAATCGCTGTCTATAACTGTAGGAGTCTTGAGTGTCTGTCTGTCTGTCTGTCTGTCTGTCTGTCTGTCTGTCTGTCTGTCTGTCTGTCTGTCTGTCTGTCTGTCTGTCTGTCTGTCTGTTTGTCTCTGTTTGTCTGTCTGTTTGTTTGTCTGTCTGTTTGTTTGTCTGTCTGTCTGTCTGTCTGTCTGTCTGTCTGTCTGTCTGTCTGTCTGTCTGTCTGTCTGTCTGTTTGTTTGTCTCTGTTTGTCTGTCTGTCTGTCTGTCTGTCTGTCTGTCTGTCTGTCTGTCTGTCTGTCTGTCTGTCTGTCATGTCTGCTGTCTGTGTGTCTGTCTGTCTGTGTGTCTGTCTGTCTGTGTGTCTTTCTGTCTGTTTGTTTGTCCGTCTGTCTGTTTGTCTGTCATGTCTGTTTGTCTGTCCTGTATCAGGTTATAGTTTGGTTTAGGTAGTTAACAGTAGTATATTATGAAGTTCTGGTCACATCAAGTTGAAACATGGTACATAATAATGTAAACTTTTAAAAATACAGGTACATGTGAAATCAGGGTTTTGACCTAGATTTCACAGTTCACTAAACATGAACATGTGATAGCGCGAGTAAAGCATGGTGTCCTGTGGACACCTATTCTTGCTTTGGTGTATTTGTAATGAGTAGTTGATAGTTCAGTTGTCTGTGATATTGGTGAAGGGCCTAACCGACATACAATTGCTATATTGAAAATTAAGTATTACAGATTATAAGCATTAAGCTAGACTGGTGAGTTACCAGAAAAGATCATGATTGTCTGCATAATTTTTTAGTGGGATGTTGATAGTGCAGCTATGGGAGACTGGCATCTTGGATTGGGACCAAATGAACGTACAGTTGTGACATTGAAGAAATTTGGAATAACAGATTACAAGCATATAGTTAGACAGGTATTAATTATAACAAGACTAATATCGCATTATACAGTCAATAAAGTAAGTAAATTTTTGAAGTCTAATTGCTGAAACACAAAGGTTTAATGAACAAATTGATTACTGTATTAATACATTGAACATAACCTGGGTACAATCTAATTTTAATTATTGTGAATCTTTACCTTCTGCAGATGTGTAAGAGGCTCTTTTTGCATACTGTGCATTCATTATTTTCCATTCGATACTTATTTTTTTGTAGTTTTCTTGGGTGTGAACTTTGATTAGGTAAAACATGAATTTAAAGATATTTAAGAAAAATTGTTTCCTGTCGGTGTATAAGCAGAAACTGTGAAAACCATAAAATCCTGTATCCTTGAATATTTTTTCTTTGATTCAAAGAAAATTGGTACCCACAAAAATAAAAGAATTCACAGAATAGCTTTGTTGAACAAAAAACTGTGTTCTAATTCTCTTATTTTAATTCACCTGTTTACCTTTCTTATATTCACATGAAACATTGCCTTCATTATTACTGAAATTATAAAATGACTGAATGTTAAACAGTCATTGATAATTTATATCGAACTGATAAAACATGGTTGGAAAAAAAGCTTATAAAAAAGATGACTGTCAAATTGGTAATGTTTATGATGAAATGTATTCAGTTTAATGGTTTTTGCATATTATTTAGAAATAGATAATAGATATATACAGTCACTGTTTACAGGCAAAATTATCATGAAACCAAGATCTACAAAAATACCAATATGAATGTTACAGGTTAACTGACTTCTTAAAAATAGAGTTATTGCTCTGAAATAACTATTTTTTTTTTACCAATTTTGTCATTTTTGCATATATATTATTGAAAAAAGACAGGTTCATTGTTTGAAAGATAGACATAAATTGTAAACAGCAAACATGTGTGCTAGCGTGTATTTATTCATGATTGAAGAAATATTGATATGATTTTGTAATTTGTATTTTATTTCTTATTTGAATTTACTTTAAAATAATAATGTGCCTGTTATAAAAGTTAAGTTAACCTTTTAAATAATTTACAACATTCATTCACCAATCAAACGATACACATTCTTACTACGAAGTCATGCTAAAATGGAAAGTTACTCGTGCGTGAAATACTGATTAATCCGGTAATAAAATTACGATGAAAATAAGATATACAGAATATCTGAAGAGATAAGTAAGCAAACTGACCTGAAATAATCATGGAATTCCTCCAATACAAATGATACAAAATATGAAACAGCAAATACAGACTAAAGAAAATATATGAAACGTCTGTTCGGTTTGAACGTCAATCCACAATCAACTATAGACTTCAATAGAAATAAACTGCCAAAAGATATATAACCAATGAAATAGTAGAAAGTGTGCGGTCAAATCAATCATAAAATACTGACCATCAAAATAGTAGAAGTGAGTAACAATCAAGACGAAACTAGTCAATCGTCAAAGTCTGAATATAAAATACGAATTGTAAAACTCATAATTAATTACAATCCGTAATTAATCTATTTGAAAACGAAAACACAAATATGAATTAGGAATAAAATCATCTTTATTTTAAAGTAAATTCAAATAAGGAATAAAATACAAATTACAAAATCATATCAATATTTCTTCAATCATGAATAAATACACGCTAGCACACATGTTCAGCGTCACAAAATCTACAGAACTGCTTATACAACTAAAACCATTGATTAACTGTTATAAACCATTAAAAAAATAATTCTTTCAATAGTCCAATTACAATTTTCTAGTTTTACAGGAGTATCATATTTCTTTTTTCTCTTTGAAGATTAAGCCACAAGACTTTGAAAGATTTGATTATATATTTGGAATGGACCATCAGAATATGAGGTAGTTAATTTAGAATGTAGAATAGAAAGTCACAGGACTAAAAGTCACAGACGAAACATCACACAACAAAAAGTCACACAAAAAGTAACAATTCAGTTTTGAAATTTTTTAAATAAAAGATTTATTTTAAAAAATAATTTTCTAATTTTTCTTGATTATCATACCTTTTACAACTTTGTAAATAAAGTACTGGTTTCATGGTGCAAATAAGTATATTCTTTGTATAATTGAAAAAAAAACAAATCCCCACACTAAACAATGGTTTTTTCTTAAAAAGATATAATTTCAAAAATTTTCTCACCAATATTTAAACAATAGTAAATTAATTAACTGTGACTTTTTATCTGTTAAAAAAACTAAAAAAGACAAAACAAGATTTGGTCTGTGACATTTTTTGTCAGAATAGACAATTATAATACCAAAAATTCAATTCAACTTAATTTGCAACACCCTCATGCAAGTATAAACTTAAAGTTTTTTGTAGGTATTTTAAACCCCTTTTTATGCTTTATTATAATTTCAATTATTTTGATTCCTAAACTTTTCAGTGTACCCTTAGAAAGTAAATCCAGGGACACTTGCAATACACTCTGAAATAGATATCATACATTTATAGTCACACTAGTTTTATTTATTAACAGATTATCTATGGTAATAAAAATGAGAAGGTCTCAGCTACAATCTCATCAAAAGCTGATAGCCCTTAGATGATATGAAGCTGAGAAATTTCACAAGTTTAAAGACCACAGAGAATCTGTTTATCACTATATTCCAAGGCAATGTCAATGATGTGGCTTATGACGTCACCATGTTCTCATTCTACTTGACTGAGAAATCATTCTACTTGACTGAAAAAAAAGCATTCTCAGTAGAGTCGCTTGATGTTGAAAATATCACAGAAAAGATCAATGCAAAATTTAAGAACAAATGAGTGTCTTTCCACATTAAATTTCTAAATAATTGATAAGAAGCTATCTCTGGTTTACTCAAAGTTACTATTGGGGTTTGATAGATTTTGCACTAGTTCTTTTATATATATATCTTTAAAAGATTCAGAGGAGATGCAGGAACAAGCAAAAGTCAAAATTTAGAACATGACCTTGACCTTTGACCATTGGCCTTTACCACAATTTATACATTAGAACCCATAGACCTCAAATATAACAGTAGTACTGTTTACAGTTTATGAGTGACAAAAACATACAGAAAATTTAATTGTGAAGGGTAGATAACTCCTATCAGATGTCAGTGGATCGCTTCAGTCCAAATCAGTTAAAACTTCCCGAGGATGCAACAAACAATTAAGAAAAAGATTTTTTTGATATATTTTTTTGTTGCGGAGGAGATGTAGGAACAAGTAAAACCGTGTTTGGGGAGATAACTCTTACACAATCATAGGTTTCTTCATACTGATTCAAAAAATATATTGTTTCTATATACTTTTATCTGAAATGAGGTAGATAATTTGCTACTTCTGGTTTAGAAAATGTCTCTTTAGGTCTCTTTATGATAGCTTTACTCACATTCCCAAAATATATGGTTTCTATAAACTTTTGCCTGAAATAAGGGAGATCATTTGCTACTTCAGGTTTAGAAAATGTCACTTCCAGCTTCATATGACAACAGTGTTTACACTGATTCCAAAAATATAAGGTTTCTACTTACTTTTGCCTGTAATAAGGGTGATAAATAGCTATTTCTGGTTTTTGAAGTCATTTCCAGTCTCAAATGATAGGTTTATAGATGTTGATTATAAAAATATATGGTTTCTGGGTACTTTTCCTTGAATAAAGTGCAAAAATGGCTACTTCCAGTTCACTTAAGGTTACCTCCCGTTTACATTTAACAAGGTATGTCTTTCACATTTTTTAAAAGACCCTATGCCTTTATCATGTACCATAATGAAGTAATAATCCATTAACCTTAAATTAAAAAACTTCAGGGTCCATAACTCCTATAAGAAATCATTGGATTGTTTCAGAACAAGTGTATCATATCTTCATCACAATTAAACAAACATTTTGCACTAGTTCTTTTATATGTATCTTTAAAAGTTTCAAAGGAGATGCAGGTACAAGCAAAAGTCAAAATTTAGAACATGACCTTGACCTTTGACCTTTACCTCATTTTGCAAGTAAGGACCCATGGACCTCAAATATAAATCCCTAGGTCTACAACTTACGGTTTATGAGTTACAAAATACATACCGACAAATTTAAATGCAAAGGATAGATAACTCCTCAGATGTAGGTGGATGACTTTGGTCCAAATCAGTTGAAAATGCCTGAGGTTGTAACGAACAGTTAAGAAAAAGAAATTTTGCTGATATGTTTTTTTAGTTACGTAGGAGATGTAAGAACAAGTAAAACAATGCTTGTGGAGAAACTCTTACAATGAAAAGTGTTCGATTAAACATGGTGAACATATGTTATACATTACTTATAATAAAGTGGAGTTGAAAACATATTTTATCAATTATCAAAGTCTTAACAAGTAAATGTTATCTTTGCTCTATATTTCCTATTGAAACTGAATGTGCCCTTCTGCAGTCAACATCGCATGTTAATTGACCTTTTCACAAAAAGAATAACATGACTTTTTTCAAAGCTAGATGAATACTACAGGTAAGCTGGAAATTTCATGGAAATAAAGTTCCTTTCTTAAATTTAGAAGTTTAGACCCTAGAAAACTTGTCTTTTGTGTGACAGTAACTTTTGTTTATGCATTATTCCGTTTTATGGAAAGATAAATTTGATTTTTTTTGCTTTATGTGTCCAAGAGTGAACATGTAGGTTTCTGAGCCATAAACACCATCTTACCAAACTTGAAAATATCCCATGGGGCAACAATTTAAAAATAAAAACTTTAGGTCTAATTCTATTTATCTATTTAGTATACTTTTACGTTTTCAAATATGTTACAATAAGGCTTAAGTGACATATAGGTCCAACAGGCCACAGGTGTAAATTTTTAATGTCTATGTCAATATATGTATAAATGTACATATGATGCACATGTCACTTAAACCAGCAACATCCGATCAGCCTGATTGGGAAGACATGGGCAATTAAGATTTGACTCATAAGGTGATGTAGGAGGTACAATGTGTATATAAACAGCAGCTGATAAATGTAAACAAAACAAATGCACATGCTTGAGGAATTTGTAGCAGACGATTTAATTATCTGATTCACTGTGGTCAAAATAGTTATGGTTTGTAGTAGATATCATTACAAAAATAAAGGAAACAAACATTAACTTACTATTATGTTTTAATGATTTGACTTTTAAAAAGTGAAAAAATATCATAAATCCAAGTAAACTTGAACTAACTGATCCCAGATTTCAGACCACATATTGTAAGATTTCCTTTTCAAAATTTTTATTTGTACAATGTACTTGTCTACGTGACTTTTTCGCATCTTGAACAGTTTTTAATGATGTGGTTTGCCTATTGTCATGTTCATTCCAATCCAATAGGGCAAGGTTGTCTGAAGAATATGCACTTGTTTGGAGAAGTTAATTCTCTTGTCATGATATTGAAGAATAGCATTATTGAAACTTTCCACATAATAACTGTCCATACAATGTACATAATCAGTTGGCAATTTGTAAACCTGGGTGTTCATTAAAGCCCTACCTAATGACATCTCTGCTTTGGAATCCTTGATTACATATTTAGTTGGTTCATAATTCGGATCTGTTTTACACCTCAATACTTCAATACAGTGTTCATGATTGTTTTTATAATGTTCAACTATATTCAATAGACTTAGTTTAAGTTTGACTGGATCCTGATTGCAATTTTTCATTGCCCAATATAGATGGGTTTTTATGCTAGCAGCTTTGTCCGATAACTCAGGGTGCCATGTTTGTCCTTCCTTACATATTAGTCCAAAACAAATGGTCTTGATTTCTTTGGCCATGTTTTTGGTGGCATGCCAGGTATCATTTGTTGATTCTGAGTCTATTCCATTAATACGGATACAATTTATTTACACTGGTATTTCTGTCATGACAGTTGACGCAAATTTTCACCTGCTATACATCTTTAAGGTTTTTGAAATAGTCATAAATTCTTTCTGTTCCAATAAGTTCATGTTTTTGTGCACTTGTACAATCCAAAAATTGTTTTAACAGGTAAAACCTTATGTGTCCTGGCACCAAGGCAAACTACGTCTGTGTACATAGAGTTTTTCCTGGTACCATACCTTGCATCAATGACAATATCAATCCCTTCTTGAATTTCTTCATAAGAAGCAATTTCCTCTAAAGAGCAGTTTCATAAGATTCTTGAATATTGGTTTGGTAGTTTTCCTGACACATAATACCCATGAGACATTCTTAAATTACAAAGATACTTGTCTCCCATACAGGGTGAGCTAGACCAGAGTAGTTCATGTTTTTCATCACATTTAAGTTTGCATACTCCAACATGACCTTTAATATCATTTGATTTAAGATGTAACTGACTTTTACAAACTTTTCTATGGCTTGTCTCTCTTTGAATAAGGTTCTCGATTGATGATTCAGCAGTGACAAAAAGTTTCTGTATTGATGTTTCCTCATTACATGTTGTAAAAGAACAGTCCAAAAAAGGTACATTGTTTTCCTCAGCCATATGTTGATCTTCTAGTGATGTTTTATTGTTTTTAATGTAAAATGTCATTACTTCAATTAACATGTCTTTATTTGTAGTCCTGTTTGGATTCCCACCACCCATTGGCTTTTTAATGTCATTGGTCATTTCATATATCAAATTCTTTTCATTAACAGATCCAGTAGAAAAATTAATTGTTCCTTCTATTGGTTTTGGTTTTCCTCAGCCATATGTTGAGTTTAATTCTATTTGGCCCAGTAGATTTAGTGGAGAAGATTTTTGTAAAAGATTACAAAAATTTATGAAAAATTGACTATAAAGGGCAATAACTCCTTAAAGGGTCAATTGACAATTTTGGTCATTTTTATTTATTTGTAGATCGTACTTTGCTGAATATTAT